AAATATGGTCATCTCCATGTTACACATCCAGAAGCTGACTCTGAGAAGCCAAGGGACTTGCCCAGGGTCACAGCCAGCATGTGGAACCCTGTCATTCTGCCTCTGTAGTGCCTGTTCCTTCTGTCCACCACACGGTGACCGAGACTGTCCTTTAAGGACCTTGTCCCAGACCTGGGGCAGTGTAAGCGGGCAGTGCCAACCCAAAGGCCAGCAGTGGCTGCAGCTGTCCCCAGGCATCCTTCTGTCCTCGCCCCTGCTTCGCTCTGTCAGAGCGCTGGCAGGCTGCATGCAGGGTCCAGTGGAGCACCTGGCCTCCCCTGCAGGGCCTGGCCCAAAGCAGGAGCTCCCCAGAGAGAGACCAAAGGTCAGACCTTTTAACTTGTCTGAGATTTTCCTCCCACACTTTCGAGCCCCAGCCAGCCCTGCACCTGGCCTTCCTCCTCCTTGGCCACCCTCGCCCTACAGGGCGAGCACTCCCCCAACCAGCTAGAGGAGGAAGCCAGGGCACCAGGGGGTGCAGACCTCACAGTGAGGATCCCATCAAAGTCCTGGTTCTCTGGCCTTGTCTGGCTTAATCACCAGCCTGGAGTGTTGCAGCCCAGGTTTCAAATACCAGCTCCTCCCAATAACTGTGTGACCTGAAGACGGCCAGCTTCTAGGGTATGCGGCATGTGCGGTGGCCCAGGACCCCGCCCTTAGAAGGGCCCACATTGGTTTTGTGTTCTGTCTCTGTCTTGAAATTCTTAGGAATTTTTTAACAAGACCATTCCATTTTTATTTTGCACTGGGTTCCACAAATGATGTAGCTATTCCTGCCTGGACAGGCAAGGTAACTTCTCCATGCCTTTGGCGCCTGTCTGCTTTGGCACTTCTGTGTCCCCCGTGGGACTGCTGTGAGGCCTGCTGAGGTTCGTGGATGACAGGTGCCTTGTCCACTACGAAGGGCTGTATTGTTCCATGATCTCTCCAGGTGGGGAGAGAAAGCTTTTAGAAAGAGCTCTGCAGCTCTCATCTAGAGGCTGGGGGCAGAGAGACAGGAGGGCTCCCAGGGTCCACAAGGAAGTTCTGTCTTCAGCTCCCTGGGACAAAGCTCTTGGAGGCCGCACTGCGTCGTCCTCCTCTTCCCAGTCCCAGGCGCCTGAGCCGCCCTCCACAAGTGTGTTTCGGGGTGGGGGAGATTCCTCATGGGGCCATGTCAGCCCTGAGAAGGGGCAGAGGCCAGGATGGGACCCAGAGAAGGCCCATGGGTGGAGGAGGAGGAAGGCCCAGAGCCCACCCCCAGCCTCCCCACCAGGCAGAGATGCCACTGCTGCAGCCATCGGGCCTGTCTGCCGCTTGTATTTGGAGGGACCCTGTGGTAAAGGCGGCCTGGCCTGCTTTTGTACTGTCTCTGAGACAGCCGTGGCCTAATACCAGGTCTGGGTGGCCTCTGGTCCTGGGCAGCAGGAGAGGTGAGGCTGTTTTCTGAGGCTCTCAGAGATGGGGGCTGGGGCGATGCCCAGGCTGGTTGCCATGGAAGGCAGAAGCCTCCTCAGCAGCAGCACCAGAGCCTCTGCTTGGAAACTCCCAGGGACACAGTGCTTGGCCCCACCAGGCCCGCCTGTCCTGTCATTGTAGACTTCAGTCCCCAGCCCCCACTTCAGCCCAAAGGACCTAGGTCAGTTTCATTGTTGCTCCCTCTACCCGTCTTGCATTTATAGTGAACATCTAAAAACCTCACAACGATATGGCTGAGGTGAACACCGCAGACATGGCCATCCCTGTGCTATAGAGGAGGGATGGAGGCCCAGGCAAGGAGCTGCAGCCTGCCCCAGGCCCCAAAGTCGGAAGAGGTGAGGTCGGGCCCAAGGCCAGACTGCTCCCTCCACGTGACCCTCCCTGCCTGCACAGAGCCTGACAGACAAAGTCCTGGGGACTGCTGGCTCCCAGTGCTCTTACGTGAGCCTGACGTGGGCACGTTTCTCTGCCTGCCCAGGATGAGGCAGTGGTCTAGAGGAGGGACGATGGGAGGCAGTGACAGTCACAGGAGGACAGCGGTGGCCTGGCCACAGTAAGAGCAGGGGCTAGAGCTGGGAAGTGCTGGGGAAGCAGCAGGCCCAGGCCCTGGGTCCCGGCGGATGGGAGGGTCTTCAGCTTGGGGCAGGTAGGGGTAGCATTCCTGCAGCCAGGGAGCACTGGGGGAGGAGCGGCTAGAGGAGGATGATGAAGAGTCCAGTGGCACGTGCTTGGTGGTAGGGCCCTGGCGCTGCCAGGTGGGTCACTGCCCACAAGGAGCCAAGGGTGCTAGACTCAGATGGAGCAGGTCCTCTCCAGCTCTGCCACTGAGGCTGCAGAGCCTTGGGCTGAGTTCCTGATGCTCTGTACCAGGTCCTCTTCAGGGAAGTGGAGGGCACAGGAGCCATCTGGCTGGGAGCCTGAGAGTGGGAGGCGGAGCAGGGCCCGGCTCATGGTGACCAGGTGGGAGACAGAGCAGGGCCCGGCCTGTGGTGACCACGTGGTCCCTGCCGTGGATCGGGGTGGTCAGCACCCAAGAACAGGCCCTAAGGGACTAAGAGTCCCTTGTTTACATACCAGCCATAGACTGAGGCAACTCGGGAACTCAAGCTGCCTGGTCCAGAGAGCGGGTGACCTTTCAGGTTGAGCTTCCAAGTCCCATTAGGGGCTTTAGGCAAGAGAAGAGCCTCAGGATTCTTGGAGTCTGTTTGGCCAGGTCCGTTTCTCAGGGTCACTGCCCTCAGCGCCTGCACCACACCTCACCTCCCCCTCCGCAGAGACTCAGTGCCCTCAGCCCCGAGTTTTCAGCGCCTGTCTCCCCCTACCCTCTGCACCCTGCCATGTACCCCCATCTCTCCAAGGCCTGAGCCTTAATTACCTCCACCTGGAAAACAGGCAGGTTTTCTGCCTGCCTCTCCAGAGAGGGACTCTCCCACAGGAAAGGCTGAGAAGGCAGGAGGAGAAGCATTGGCTCCTGGATTCGGGGGTGGGAAGCAGGAGGGGGAGCCCATTGGCTCCTGGATTCGGGGGTGGGAGGCAGGAGGGGAGCCCATTGGTTCCTGTATTCGGGGGGTGGGAGGCAGGAGGGGAGCCCATTGGTTCCTGGACTCGGGGGTGGGAGGCAGGAGGGAAGACCATTGGCTCCTGGATTCCGGGGTGGGAGGCAGGAGGGGAGCCCATTGGTTCCTGGTCTCGGGGGTGGGAGGCAGGAGTTCCCTCTCTGGTTGTCAGCCCAGGGAGGAAACTAACAAGTCAGGCGCATGTAAGCGGGTTGATTTGACCCTCACCTCCACCCTGGCGGAGAAGGCTCGTCCTTATTTCCAGGTGTGAGTGCGGAGGTGCAGCCCCAAGGGGTGGCTGCCTGAGTGGCTCTGTGAGTGACAACCAGGACTCATTTGCTGGCCTGCCCACCTCCACTGTCCCAGTAGATGGCCCAGAGGGCATAAGCCGGCCAAGTGCCAGTCATACCACCTGCATGAGCCTAAGGGAGGGTGACGCCTTCCCTCACGTGTCCAGGGCATCAGGGAGGCTCCTTGCGGAGGTGGGCTCTGAGTCAGGCCTTGAAGGATGAACAGGAGGGAGGCGTCCAAGCCCTGGGACCACCACACTGCCATGGCAGGAGGTGGGAGGGCAAAAGACTGGTTCATAGAAACCACCCATGCCCAGCTGAGGTCCAGGATTTGAGGAGACACACAAAGGACGAGCCAGGAATAGTGTCAGAGTCAAGGCCACCTGCCTTCCACTGGCAGCCGCAGCTCATCCTACGGTGGTGACGGCTCAGCCATGAGCATGAGGAGGACGCCTACCACCGCAGCCCTGCAGAATCTCAGATGCACACTCACACACACACACAGGGGAATGTGCGGTTTCCCTCTCCCGCTGCACACCCCTACGAGGTGAAGTTCAAAAGAAAGGCCCCATGCATTTCATTTAATTAGCACCAAGGAGTCCTGACAGCTGACAGTATATATTCATTTATTCCCCCCAGCCTGCAGAAATGCAGACCCTACAGCACAGGAACAGAGTATACCCATTAGGGAGACCCTTCAGGGAGAAGGCACACCAGGTCCAGGAGTCCAGGTGATGCCGAGGTGAAGGCAGGCAGGGGAATCCAGGTTATGACCGATGGGCGTCCATTGACTGTCCGCCTCCCAGCAGCAAGGAGAAGAGGGAAGCCCATGCAGCCACAGTTTCCACAAGATAAAGCCTGCCAGATGCTCGGGAAGAAACCCAGGTGGCAGAGACCCGAGGGCCGGGCGAGCCCCCGGCACCCTGGTGTGCCAGCTCTGTGAGCCCCTCCTCCAGGCCTGGGGGGGATCACTCACGGCATGACAGCTTCAGTGACCTCAGTTATGCCTGAGCCACTCTAGCCCCTTTGAATTTTGCAAAAAAAAAAAAAAAAAAAAAAAAAAAAGGCACTAGACAAGCTTCAAGTGGACACAAACCAGATGCCTTTGGAATATCACTCAGTGAGAACAGATGTTGGGCTGAAAGCCTCATCAAGGTGATGGATGATGTGTAGGTCCTCAGAACCTCCCCTTCGGGTCCCTGGCTGGGGCCACAAGCCACTCTGTTCTGAGATGCATTTGGGGGCCCCAGTCACCTCTAAGTAACCTCCAGCCTGGACTTGGAGTCTGAGTCCAGGCAGGTCAAAGTTTTAGGAATCCAGCCCTGGGCAGTTAAATATAGCCAGGCCAGTCTGGCCCCAGATAATAGTTTTAACCCTGTTGGCAGCAGCCTCTACATAAGCACAGCCCTCTGTAGTTTACAGACTCATCCCTCATCACATGCAACCCCTCAGGAACGGTGTCATTCCCCCATTTCACAGATGGGGAGCTTGAGGCTCAGAAAGGCAGCACAGCTTCCCTGGAGCCCCACAGCCAGAGAGTATATCAGAGCCAGAGCTTGAACCCAGGTCTCCTGTCTCAGAAGATCTCTCCACAGAAGGGGAAAGTCAGTGGCTTCTGTCCAAGGAGACTGAGGTGTCTGTCTCTTTCCCTCCCCAGAGACGTGTGCAGTCAATAACGGAGGCTGCGACCGGACGTGCAAGGACACAGCCACCGGCGTGCGATGCAGCTGCCCCGTTGGATTCACGCTGCAGCCAGACGGGAAGACGTGCAAAGGTCAGCATGTGGAGCGGTGTGGGCGCCCCTGCCCGTACTGGCCTGGCCAGGAGCCTCCGTGTGCTTGCACAGCCGGGCCCAGGGCTGGGCTGGATGGGGGCCACGTGTGGCTGCGGGAAACGACACATGGCAATCATTTGCGTTGCTGTTGGAGAGGCCAGGAAGAGGGAGGGCTGGCCAGCAGCAGAGTCCCTAGCAGGGTTCGAGAGAACGCAGGTCTTACGGCACATCAGCAGGTTCCTGGGCCAAAATGGCACTGATGTCCGAGAATTTGGCTGCACACTGGGTTAAACGGTTAAGCCAGCGTCTCTACCGTGGGGCTCCCTGGGCCCTCAGTGATACCGTGGCTTCCCAAGGCGGGTGGAATGTGGCGTGTTTCCAGACCCCTTGACCTTTGGTTGCAGTGGGTCTTGCAGAGCTGGTGGGGACAGTCTGGTGCAGGGCCATCTAGGACATGCATGTCTACTCATGCCAGGAAAAATAAGGACAGTGTGTCACTACCAGAAGGGGCAAGGCTGGGGGATCCCATCTGAAAAGATAAGGACTCAGGACTTCCGCTTGCCATCGGAAAATGAAGAGTCAGGAAGATCTGAGAGTGACTGCGGTTGAAGGAAGGAGGGACAGGGCTGGGCTGCCGGTGGCTGGCAGTGAGGGAAGGCAGAAGTGTATCCTCCCACTCGTCCCCTGAGTCACCCCACAAAGACTTACCGAGTACCTCCTGGGTTGAGGGGACCCTCGGGAAACAGGAAGGCTGGGGAGCTGGGAGAGGAGAGCTGGCTCAAGACAGGCGTTGGGGAAGGAATAGACCAGCCCTGGAGATGAGGAGATCCAGCTACCCCCAAAGGATGGACAGAGCCCCCAAGAAGCTGTGGGCCCTGGGGCAGGGTGTTAGGCCTGAGTGCTGGAGCCCCCTGTGCTGAAGGGTGAGGGCAGCGCTCAGTGCCCCCAGCATCGCTCCAGACCACCCTCCAGTTGCCCCCACCCCAGCTCTGGGCAGTACCCCCACACTTGGCCAGGAAGGGAGCGCCTGGAGAGCAGGGCGCGGAGGGGGAGAGGAACTGGAACTTCCAAAGTCCAGTCGGGGAAAACATTGAAAGTGGAGGTTAGGGTGACTTAAAATAGCTTGAGGTGGACTTTTTTTAAGCCTGTAAAAATAAATGTATTTTTGTACAGTGTATGACTTCTTCCTTGCCAACTCGCTGGGAAGAACCGAGTGATTATTGACAGAAATAACAGTGCTTCCGCCTGTTTATTTGAAAATAAAGCCCTTCTGTGGCCACCACTCAGCCTGTTAATAGCCTCAGTGCGTTCCTGGCAGGCAAGTGGGCAGGTGGGTGGCGTCCGAGTCCTCGCCACATGACTCAGTGCCAGGAGTGACTGGCCGAGGAAGCCCAAGGTCCGCGCAGATCTGGGCATCTCCACAGCCCAGCGATGGCACAGCCCGCCAGCATTTGCCTTTGGAGGGCCAGAGGGGCAAGCAGAGCTTAATTCCTCGGGCAAGGCTGGGGCTGCTGGAATGGGGTCTGGAGGCCAGGAGCCACCCTGTCTGGGCCAGATCGAGGCCTGGTACAGGGCAGGCATGTGGCCCAAGACGGGGCTACTGGGATTGGGGCTCCCACTGCTGCCCCCTAACCATCCCTCGTAGCCCAAGGGACACTTAATTCCTTCTGCTCTGGTTCTGGCTCTGAGGGTAGCGTGGCGCTCAGGAGGGCTGTCCACAGCCCCAAGGCGACCCCCCAACCCCCGCACCACCACGTTTCCTTTTCTCTTCAAACAGTTGGGGCTCTCTCACCAGGCTGCCCCACTTGGCCCTTTGGCCAAACCTCCTCCACGGATGCCCAGCCCCGGGCCTGTGGCTGTACTCAGAGCCCTTAGGGCCCTGGCTCCCACTGGCCAAGGTCAGAGATCACCTCACTTGCTCACGGAACAGGTGCGTTTTCTGGACTCCTACTGTGTACGCGGGTTCCGGTGAGAAAGGATGAATAAGAGATGCTTCCTGCCTGTAGGGATCCTCTACTGAGTGCAGAAGACAGGTTTTCATTTTTTAAATCACTGAGATATTTGAGTATTACAGACTACTTGGTGTGGGATAGAGAAGTTCAGTATGGCAGGAGGTGGGGGAGGCCAGGGAGGGCTGAGGCGAAGAGGCGTTTATCAGGCAATGGTGGGGGCAGGGGAAGCATTTTCAGCACTGTGACTGTTGCCAGAGGCCTGTGGGTTTAAGGACCTGGGACTGGGAAGGATGCAAAGGAGGCGGGCCAGATGGCACAAGGCCCAGGGCTACCCTACAAGCTTGGCCAGGTCCCAGTCAGCACTGGGCAGGAGAGGCTTATGCCCAGGTTTTCATTTTGAACTGACCCTGGCCACAGTGGGGTCCCAGTAGGGTCTGGAAGAGCAGCCAGGCACAGCTGCTGTCACTCAGGCTCAAGATGGCAGTGCCAAGGCAGGACTGGCAGCAGACATAGAGAAGGCAGAGACCATACATGTCCATAGATGCCCACATTTCAGCACCAAGGGACTGGCTAGAACTGCCCACAGGACCACCTCAGGGAGCCTGGGAAACCAGACGGTGGCCTCCAGCCCCAGGGTTGGTGTCGTTGGTGTGTTCCCAGCCCTGGCTGGAGAGGCACAGGCAGGAGGATTCCCAGCAAACTGACGACCCTGGCCCCAGGGTTTGGCTCCTCGGTCAAGTGCACACCATGATCTTGGCAGGGTCTGGGGAGGATCTCAGAGGAGGGAGTTCAAAGGCTCCGTGTTTTCTGAAAGCCAAGATGTCAATGTCAAGCCAGAGGAGTGGCTGGAGAACAGAGGTCACAGCGGGCTTGGACAGCCCAGGGCTGCAAACCCTGGGCGGGCGGGGGTCACGTGGGCAGGTGGAGGCAGGGGTGGGGAAGTTGGGAGGTTTTGTCTGAATGTCGGGGACGAGGGGGGCCTGGAAGATGTGCCTAAGCCCTCGTCTCAAGGGCTCCCTGCTGGGTGCCTTGCCCATTTGGTGTTGGGAGGCGGTTATCTTGCTAATCGGTCCCTCCAAGAGGAAGGGGGTCCTGGGCCTCAAGAATAAGGATGCAGGACTGCAGCTTGCCATTGGCAAGTGAAAAGTTAGGAGGATGGGAAAGTGACTGTAGCTGAAGGAAGCAGGGAAGGGCTGAGCTGCCAGTGGTTGGCAGTGAGAGAAGGCAGACGTGTATCTTCCCTTCCTCAGCGGAAGCCTGCATTTCCCCCAGGTCACCAGCCCCTCTTCCCAGCATCTCCAGAACAATCCGAGAGAACCCCCCACCTACTGCCTGTTTCCTCTCCTCCCTGCGCAGTGCTCTGGGCCAGGCAGGCCACAGCCAGGGCTTTTACCCGAGTAGGAACAATGGTACCCTCGAGTGCCCGCCACCTGGCCAGCCCCACCCAGCAGCTGGCCCTCCCTGCTGGGCACTCCAGGATGATGCCAGCCCATGACCCCGTGCCCTCCCTCTGCTCCCACCCAAAAGCCCTCCCCTACGTGGTCCCCCATATGAGATGGGCAGGAGGAAGCCAGAACCAGTGTCCTGTGCATCCCTATAGCTCACCCCATCGCCCTGCCCCCATGCACACTCACTCGAGCTCCAACCCTAGGTGATGCACCCAAATAATCCACTCAGTGACCCGAGACCCCACCCTTCCCTCAGCCCGCAGGCCCGCTCCATTGTCTGGAATCACCGTGACCCATTCGTTCATTCAGTGAGCGTTCCTGGACACTCACGCTGGGCCCTGGGGTGCGAGATAGGAACAGACACCCCCAAGTCTGTGTCCCAAGGCCCTCTCATGCCCCCAAAGGCAGGTCCCATGAAGAGGAAGCTACTGGCTCTGGAAAGAACGCGGGAAAGGCTTTCTAGAAGGGCCGTTTTTCCCAGGGCTGGGGTCAGCAGGTGAGAGTGGGGGCTGCGGCTGTACTGGGTGCAGTCACTGGAGTCCAGGCTGCCACGGCAGGAACCAAGCAGGCTGGAGAGAGGAGGCAAGGCAGCCTGGCCGGGCTGGAAGGGAAGCACTGGGAGCCTCTGCAGAGGAAGGGCCCACATCCTAGCAGACTCGGGAGCCTCAGAATGCTGGCCAGCAGGCAGGGACTCAGCCAGATTTGTGTGTGGAAGGTGGTGCTGGCTGCCTGGTGGAGGGCGGTGGGGTGGGAACCCAGGGAGGAGTGGAAGGGAAGAGAGGCGCAGAAGCTGCACCCCAGGGGCTATGAGCCCAGCAGCCCCTTCACTATATCCTGAGGTAGTGTGAGGAGGGGGCTTCCCTCCATCCTGACCCCCAGGCAGCCAGCTACACCAGCCTGGGCCTCAGGCAAACATGCCTCCCTCTGCCTGTCTGGTTGCTATGACAGCCCCTTAGCAGACAGGCCCAGATGGGGCAGGGGATGGGACTGGGGGTTCTGGAGGGCCTGAGGCTCCACTGAGGAGGCAGGAGTGGTGAGAATGATCATGTGCTGCCCCTGTCTGCTTAGCAGCCTTAGCTCATTTCAGTTTGCTAAGGATGCTGGGAGAGGGGATGCGAGGAGAGGCACCATTTAGCAGCCTGGTCTGCAGATGGGACCCTAAGGCTCAGAGAGGTGCCTTTTCTGCCCAACATCGCACAGCCAACTGAGGCAGAGCCAAGATGGGCCTCTGTTCTTCTACCTGGGGCTTGTATCTAGAAATTCCCCATCCGCCTCTAATCCCGGGGTTGGAGGGGAAGGAATGATCCAGATTCCTAAACCTCTGCCCTGGAGCAGCACCGCCGGGCTTCATATCTCTTTCTGTGGTGGCTGCAGCGCCAGCATGATGTGCTGTAGCAGGCCCGTCTTTGGGTTCGCACGGCGCTGGTTGAGACACGGCTCCTGGTGCAGTGCTCTGGCCTCCTCTGTGAAATGGGAGCCCTGCTGTCTGCGTTGTTTTGAAGGTCACGTGAGATGATACCAGAAAGTACATGCTATGTCCCTCCCCGAGGCTCCCAGAGAGCCACATGGGCATCTCAACCCTGCACGCCTCTAATATTCTTCACCAGAGATTTGACCTCTAATATCCTGGTTTTGTCATCATTGGGGGACATTCCCTGGGAACACTGCTTTAGGACTCTGGGCAGGTCTCAAGTCCAGCCTGTTTGGTTTGAGGAAAGAAAAGTGAGAACGACATGGGCCGGCCTGAGGTCGGAATAGCAGTGCCAGGAACAAGTTGCCGCTACGGGGCTCAGTGCCATCTGTAAAGTGGGGGCAGGCTTACCTTCCGCACAAGGCGGTGCCAGTGACACTGGACGGGCCCTCAGGCACCTGACCCGGCAACTACGCCCAGGATGGGCTCTGCAGGTGCTGGAATCTGCATCTGGCAGGTCTGCTGAGACGTGACCGGTGACCAACAGGCGCTGCTCTTCCCATTGTCCTCTCTGGAAGGGCCTCTTCCACTGCCTCCTTTTTGCTTCTCCAAGTCAGGGTGAGACCGCCGTCCTGAAAGCCAGCACTGATTATTATTTTTTTTTCTTTGAGATGGAGTTTCACTCTTGTTGCCCAGGCTGGAGTGCGATGGCACGATCTTGGCCCACCGCAACCTCCGCCTCCTGGGTTCAAGCGATTCTCCTGCCTCAGCTTCCAGGTAGCTGGGATTACAGGCATGCGCCACCACACACGGCTAGTTTTGTATTTTTAGTAGAGACAGGGTTTCTCCATGTTGGCCAGGCTGCTCTCGAACTCCCGACCTCAGGTGATCCGCCTGCCTCGGCCTCCTAAAGTGCTGGGATTACAGGCATGAGCCACCATGCCTGGCCAGCACTGATTATTTTTTTAAGCCACCCTGTAGTGTAGAAATAAAACCTCTTATTTTTCTTACTCATTGCTGGAGAGAGTCTGGAGGGGGTGGCCAGCATGGGGAACTGGAGAGAGTCCGGAGGGGTGGCCAGCATGGGGAACTGGAGGTCGGGACCCAAGAGGAATTTGGGAGTAGCTAAGACTGTGTCCCTTGGAGAAGAAGCCCCTTGGGGACAGGGACCTCTGATGAAACAGAATGCCAGGCTCGCCCAGGGCCTAAGGGCAAAGCCCAGATGGGCCCAGCAAGGAAGCAGGAGCATGGGGGCTGACAGGAGTCAGGGCTGCGCTCAGGGTGAGGAAGACATCTGTGAGGCATCGGCGGCAGGCCATGCTGGGAGGGAGAAAGCTCCCCGTCCCTGGAGGTATGCAAGCAGAGACTGACTGGCAGAGTTGCTCAGGATGGTGTCATTTATTACTCGGGATTGGGCCAGGCAACCTTCGGAGCATACTACACCTCATTCACTGCTAAGTGAAGAAGCAGCTCAAACAAACAGGCGAGGAGTCAGGCTGGGAAAATGGGGAGCGTCAGGCCCACTGCATAGCGCAGCTGCCCACTTACCTCCTGAAGCCTCTTGAACCAGGTGCTTTCCCTCTCTAAGCCTCAGTGTACTCCTCCAACAGAGGCAAAAATGCCTACTTTTTGAAAAACGTTTCTTGAGCGCTGATCAAGCACCGGCACTGTGGAAATGTTTTCTAGTCCTCGTGATGTCCTTCAAAGTGGGTGCACTTCCTGTCTTCGCTCTGCAGACAGGAGGCCAAGGCTCAGGGGTCTAGGAGCTTGCTGAGGTCACCAGAAGTGGTGCCTGCCTGCTCCAGCCTCCCTGCTGGCCAGGTGGCCTCCCTGGACCTGCAGATGAGAGGACATGGAAGAGTCGCCGTCCCTGCTTTCTTGCTGGGCACAGCAGCCGTCACTTCCTCTCTACTCAATATCGCACATCCCAGGCTTGCCAAGTCTCAGGGGAAGTGGTGAAGCTTGGGGAGCTGACCCTTTGCAGTACAACTCAGCCCCTGCCCTGACCCCTGGGAGACAGGGCCTGCACCCTCTGCCCAGCTGGGGAGCCAGCAGCCAGCCTGGGGAGTGGGCACCAGGCAAGTCAGAGCAGTGTCATCCCCGCCACTAGTCTGTCGTCCCCCCGCTGGTCACACAAGCTGATTCTCCTGGCTCTCACTCCTCCATCCGCCTTGGCTCCCACAGACATCAACGAGTGCCTGGTCAACAACGGAGGCTGCGACCACTTCTGCCGCAACACCGTGGGCAGCTTCGAGTGCGGCTGCCGGAAGGGCTACAAGCTGCTCACCGATGAGCGCACCTGCCAGGGTGAGCCCCTGCCATGCCCCAGGTGGCCCTCGGGCCCAGCGGGGTCGTACCTCTTCCAACCTCCTGGGCTGACACGGGCTCCTAGGAGGGGAGGGGAAAGCAGATGGGGTTGGGCCCGAGGAAACAGGGTCCTTTATGACTCTAGGGGACATCCAGTCCAATCTGTTCCTTTTATTGAAGGGAAACTGAGGCCCGGGAGGGCTTCAGCACATGTCCCAGGTGGCAGAGGGAGCCGGTGGCCAAACTCATCGGCTCACCCAGCCCCTCCCTCCCCATGTGGCCCACGGGCCTCCCAGCGTCGAACTCCTCTGGCTTCGGAGGTGGGATGCTGCCATCTGTTGGAAAGCATTGCACATTGCAGGCAGGCGCTCTCGAACAATCCTCACCTGCTGGAAACAAGGATAAAGAGAAGGAGGGGTCTGGACAGAAGCCAAGAATCCCAGCCCAGGACGAGTCTAGTGGGATCCAGGATGCAGCGGGAGCCCAGAGGCTGGCAGTGCAGAGCGGGGTCGGGGAAGGCTACAGGGGAGGGTCCGTTGGTGAAATGCTTGAGGGGTGAGTAGGGATTTTCCAGGAGGAGCCAGGGAGGTAAACCCACACAGGAGATGGCACTGCCGGCCTGAGGAGGTTTAGGGGACCACAAGGAACTTGGTGGGGCTGGATGAGGCCATGAGGAAGGAGACAGGTGCCCTGTGGGCCTCACACTGGGAGAAAGTGCAGGGGGTGGGGCACCCCATGTGGCAGGGCAGGGGCCCTCTTTCCCTGACGATGATCCAGCTGTGGTCTGGTTGTTTTGTGCCTGTGGGGTACCAGCAGTTGCGGGCAGCATGTGGCCTTGTCTGGGTACTGAGCTGTGCTTCTGCCTGTCAGTGCAGCTCGGGGGCTGGCACAGGGCAGGGTGAGGCCCTGAGGAGTGAGGGCTGTGCTCCCGCAAGGTCCCTGAAGAATGTAAAAGCAGGAGGCTGGCGGGAGTGGCGCCAGGGCCGGCCGTCCTCAGAATCAAGTGTGCCCCTTGCCAGCCACTCCCTTCCCCAGGCTCAGCCTCTTCATCCCTGGACGGGCATCCTGGCCCTGTCCTCCTCAGGGCCTGAGGTCTGATCAGGAGCACAGCGTCTGTCCAGGCTCTATCAGGGTTCCTCTGACTTGGACTTTGTTTCTCTATTGGCCTTGCCAAGTTCTGCAGAGGGCTGAAGAGAGCCCTTGACCTTGCCTCCCAGCTGCCCCCTGAAAGAGGCAGGCGGCTGTCGAGGAGGAGGTGAGATCGCTTGTGAGGCCCTGTCCTCACCCGCCCCACCCCCACCTGTATCTTTTTCCACGCCCTTCCAGGCTCATCTCTCTGAGGCCTTGGGGCTCTGGGCTCCACAGGTCTAGCAGGGAAGGGTCCATGCTCCTTTGCTTGGCACTCAGGGGACCCCAGACACCCCCGCAGTCCCCCTCGGGCTCCACACAAGTGGACCTGCCAGGATGGCTCCTAGGAGGCTCCTAGGAGGGGAGGGGAGTTCAGATGGCGCTAGGCCCAAGGGAACAGGTGCGTCTCCTGGGCACCACATGCCCCTACCTCCTAGCAGCTGCCTGAAGCACCCTTCCTCCACACTCATTCCCTCATTCCAGGCTGGTTCTATCCTTCAGATTTTATCCCAGGTGCCACAAGCACCAGGAGGTCCCAGATCCTCCCTGGGAGGGAGCACACTCACCTTTGAGCACCCATGCACAATTTCTTCCTTGTGTTAGTGTTTTTATAAATATGCATAATATATGACAAATATTTGTGAAATTACATGAGCTAATGTTTTCAAAGAATGAACTCTTAACTGTTATGCCCTAGGAGGGGCAGGTTGGTGTCTGTTTTGCCTTCAGGGGTCCACATCAACTGTCCCATAACAGCCATTTTCTTCAGAATTTATGGCCAGGACAGACTTGTCTCCAGTGAACATGGTGGTTCGTTTTTTCCTTTCCAGGAACAAACACCCCATGATTCCCTCTTTCCCTTTTTACCTTGGCTGCCAGGAAGCTTATCATCACCTTTCATATTCTATCAGAGCTGCCTTTTTAACCTTTATGGGTGGTGTATTTCCTCTTCTCTTTTTACTTGTATGGTTTTCCTTATTTTCTCAAGAAACATCGTGGGGTGATGGGGAAAGATGCTTTGGTCAGCATCCAAGAGGCCTAGGTTTATGTCCCAAGTCAGCTGCCTCTGCAGGGCCCTGGGGCCAGCCACAGTCTGTTTCCTGCAGGCGTGGGTTCAATGCCTCTCCACCACTCCTAATCAGAGTTGACTATGAGATCGTAAAATGGCAGAGATTCATAATAATCCCCTCCATTCACAATGTTTCTGCCCTGCTCATCTCCAGAAAAGAAGTGAGGTGGTTCCCAACCCAGAAACAGAAGGCTAATGGAAACACAATGGAAAATCGAGCAGCAAGAAGGAGTCTCCCATTTGCGTCTCGGCCCAGGGATTGTGTGTCCACAGATGTGCCTTGAGTGACTGAGAGTGACAGGCCGTGCCTACCTACCACTCCCTCAAACTCCTCCCCCAACTTTGTCTCCCTGTGGCCATGCAGACATTGACGAGTGCTCCTTCGAGCGGACCTGTGACCACATCTGCATCAACTCCCCGGGCAGCTTCCAGTGCCTGTGTCACCGCGGCTACATCCTCTATGGGACAACTCACTGCGGAGGTCTGCAGCCTGCCCGCCAGGGCCACCTCCCCCCCGAGGCACGCGCCTGGCCGCACGGCCACCTACACTGCACCCCGCATCCCAACCCTGCCCTCAACCCTGGGGGGCCCGAGGCCTCAGCAAGGACAGGGACTGCTGGGCAGAGGGGCCCAGCCAAGGGCAAGTGGGGCAGGGCTGGGGAGACAAGGGGTAGCAGGAAATGGTTAGAGGTGGGTAGCAGGTCTCTGCCAGTGCCAGGGCTTGACCAGATGGGCATGGGACTGGAAACCACATTTACTAGAGAACCCGGGCCAGGAGCGGAGGCAGCCAAGACATGGAAATTCCAGACAGCTCGTTCCAGGGAGGCTCACAGCAGAGAGGGGCAGGGTAGAGGCGCAGTTCGGGATCCCCAAGGGGGAGTGTTTGGCTAGGGGGTGGGGAGGCACTCCAGAGGCTTCCGCGTGAGAAAGCAGTGGACAGAAGGACCAAGAGGCAGCCACGGGGCTGGGCCCACAGGAGGAGGGAGCTCAGAGGAAGATGCAGATAGGGGGCGCTACCCCGCCGTGCAGGCTTCGGGAGCCCACAGGGGAGTTGGGGGTGTATTCCCAGTCAGAGGAGAAGCCTGTGGAGGGTTTAAGCAGGGGTGCAATATGGTCAGGTTCATGGAACTGGATGCCCCAGTGGCCGCATGGAAAGGAGAGTGGAATCCAGGGTACCACTGGGAAGGCAGCTCCAGGCATGGGAGCGCACACTGCTGGAGCCAGGGCAGGGTGGGCAGGGACGGAACAAAGAGGAAAGTTCTAGATGTATTTAGGAGCCAGAGCCAGGCTGCTGGGACTTGGTGTTATATGGGCGTGGTGGGTGAAGATTGGGAAGCCAAGGACGGTCCCCTGTCTCTTCCTTTTCTGTGGCCTGGGGGCAGCCACACTCACGATGCCAGGCCACTCGAAGATCAGAGAGGGTCAGGCAAGAATGTGATCAGGACACAGCTGGTGCTTGGGCTTCTGGAGGTGGGCTACAGATTCTTCTGGAAAGACTCTCGAAAACCTGGGCACCCCTTCCCTGGGCCTGCCCAGTGCAGGCAGCTCAAGAACTAGCAGAACATGGAGCCCAGCCCCTTCCCCCAGCTCCAGCAGGTGCTTTTGGTCAGAGGAGGTGACCTCGTTCACCCTGGTGTCTGTTGTACCGCAGGGGACCTGGGGCTAGAAAAGGGCTTGTCCAGAGTCCCATGATAAAATCAGTTTCACAGTCCCTGGAGCAGTGCGTATTCCCTGCGCCACAAAACCTGGTTGGGTTGGAACTTTAATCGCGTGCCACCTCCTCTGCCCCCCAGCCTGGGGTGCAGCTGCCTGAGTTCAGAAAACGACTGAGGTTCCTAGGGGAAGGGACGTTGGGGTCTGTGAGGAGCCTTCTAAACCCCCGCGTGTGTGTGCGTGTGGCGTGTGCACTGCTCCTCTGCATTCCGTGATGCTGTCTGACTCCGGGGGTCAGGAGATTCTCGGCCCTCTTGCCCCGGGTAGTCCCCTCCCCTGCCAGCCGCCAGCCGCCAGCCTCCCCTCTGCCCTTACGCCCACTGTGCTTCCAGATGTGGACGAGTGCAGCATGAACAATGGGAGCTGTGACCAGGGCTGCGTCAACACCAAGGGCAGCTACGAGTGTGTCTGTCCCCCGGGGAGGCGGCTCCACTGGAACCGGAAGGACTGCGTGGGTAGGTGGCCACCCTGTGCTGGCTCCTCCCCTGTACCCGGGCTTGGATGGGAGGGGCAGTGGCTTTTCTGAGGTGGGGCTGAGCAGGGCAGCCCCTCCCTTTCCTCCAGGCCTTGCCTTCCTGGGCAGAGGTTACTCTGCTGCTGGGGTATGGCCGATGGGAATGACGACTTGCAGAGAAGGAGGGGGTCCCAGGCAGAGCATGCCAGTGTCAGCCAGAGGCACAGCAACAGGAACCTGCGGTGGGGAGGAGGGCACAGAGGAGATCTGGGGGTCTATGTGCAGCCCCAGCCGTGGGGCACAGGGCCCTGCTGACGTCTCCGTAGAGCTAGAAGCTTAGAGGGAGTGGGTGTGGAGGCCTCTCCTCTGGCAGCTTCCCCTTGTCCTGCTGGGGAAGCTGAGGGGGAGGAAGAGGGTCACTCGGGGTGCAGCAGCCTCAGTGGGGCACAGTTGCAGGGAATGTGGCAGTGCCTCCCGGAAAGCCCATGGTCCCTGCACCCTCTGCGGACGTGCTCGCAGCACTGGGTGCCCCTAGGCTGAGTTCTGGAGGGGCCCCTGCGTTCCCTGGTTCCCTGTACACAGGGCCCTGTCTGGGTGCTGGGGCTGTGGGCCTGCCCTCCTGGAACCTTGCACCGGGTCCTTGCCCGGCCACGCTCTAACATCCCCAGGGCAGCCTAAGTGAGCCTTGTAAATTTGAGTTACAACATCCCTCTGGGCTCTGAACTGCCCCTCCTCCCCCCACCTCCCCGCCACCGCACCACACCGCACCCTCCACCCCTTCCACTACCACTACCCACCCCTCCTTTGACTCCTCCTTTGACTCTGAATCAAAGCTACAGTGCTTGGAATGGCCTGAAGGCCAGCTGATGGGATTGCCCTCTGCTGTCTCCCTCGCTTGCTTCAGGCCAGCCTCACTGACTTCACAGGGCCTCCACCAGCCCTTGGCCCGAGGCTGTGCACTTCTCTTGGCCTGGAGGGCTGTCTCCCAGCACTCCTCACTCCTCCCTTGCTGTGACGGTCTGTGGGTGAGGCCTGCCCCGTCACCCACCCAGAGCCGCAGCCTCGGCCACTTCCGCACCCATCTGGGCCCCCTTTGCTTCCAGCTGTCTTTCGTTCCCATCACACTCCCAGCCACCAGAAGTAACGTGCACTTTACAGGTTCGTGTTGGTTTACGTCCGTCTGTCTGTCCGTCTCTCTGTCCTCACTAGAATGGAAGCTTGACACAGTTCAACAGGTCTTCTTGGCCTGTCCCATTCACTGCTGGAGCCCCAGCTCCTGGAACAGACCCTGACAATCATAGACACGAGTCAGTATTTGTCGGAGGAATGAACGCGTTGGCGAATACAGACCATCATTTAATATCTGAAATCGGAAGGTTGAGTTTCTCACGTACTTACGGAAGGAACTGCTGTGCTGTTCAGACCAAGTCTCACCGAACAAAGTCAAGTGCTGCGCTTCTGCTGAGTTTCGGGAAAGAGCTTGTTTGGGGTTGTGCTGCTTGGTGGCAGAGGCAGCATTAGGGGATATCCGTCTTAGGAGCATAGGAAGGATATGGTACCTTCAGATTCTTTGCAGGAAAGTGTTGTTCATTGAGGAGATTACGGGGTCATTGCTCTGTGGTGAGCGGGTTTACGCAAACCTGCCTCCAAGGGCCAAGGAAACTGAGTGGCGGGAGAAAGAGGCTGACACATTTAGTTTCTCAGAAGGAAACGTTTGGCCGGGCGCGGTCACTCACGCCTGTAATCCCAGCACTTGGAGAGGCTGAGGTAGGTACGTCACCAGATCACCTAATTTTTGTATTTTTAGTAGAGAGGAGGTTTCACCATATTGGCCAGGCTGGTCTCGAAGTCCTGACCTTGTGATCCACCCGCCTTGGCCTCCCAAAGTGCTGGGATTGCAGGTGTGAGCCGCCGCACCCGGCCGCTTCTACTGCTCTTTACCGTCTGCTGCTTTTGAACTTTTTCTTCCATCCAAGATCCTAACAGTTAGGTGAACTCATTGTGATACAGATCTGATCACCCAGGACAATAGCTATCCAATGATATCCTGAATTCTTTTTTTTTTTTTTTTTTTGAGACGGAGTCTCGCTCTGTCACCCGGGCTGGAGTGCAGTGGCCAGATCTCAGCTCACTGCAAGCTCCGCCTCCCGGGTTTACGCCATTCTCCTGCCTCAGCCTCCCGAGTAGCTGGGACTACAGGTGCCCGCCAACTCACCCGGCTAGTTTTTTTGTATTTTTTAGTAGAGACGGGGTTTCACCGTGTTACCAGGATGGTCTCGATCTCCTGACCTCATGATCCACCCGTCTCGGCCTCCCAAAGTGCTGGGATTACAGGCTTGAGCCACCGCGCCCGGCCAATATCCTGAATTCTTAAACAAATGTTGGTCTGTCTCCTGGAGTTTAGGAAAATTTCCTTCAGCACTCAGCATAGCTCTAGACCTGGCTTTACATCCAGCATTAGAGATCTGATTTCTGGCTCAGCAACTTTAATGGAATATTGTGCAATAGGATTTTTCCTTTCCTGGGATAAGCCCTAAGGGAGGAGTTGCTTGTGTAGGAGGTGAGGGGCAGGAGCAGAGAGGGTAGGATGCGATGAGTGGCTGGTGAAGATGGAGCTGGGCGGAGAGAGCGGCAAGTGGATTTCAGAAGGTTTGGGTGGGAGGAAACTGAGGCCAAGGTATACCAGTGGCAGAAGCTATTAAATGATGGCATTTTGTCTCCTAACATTTTAGAGCTCCTCTTAAATATATTAATGTGTTAGTTTTGATGTGTCAGAAGTTCCCACAATGACCGATGTTATTCTAAGTTGGTGGTGGTTGTCGCTGTTTGGGTTTTGTGGTGAGTAGGGGGCAGTTTGCCATTTACCAAGAGAAGCACAAGCTAGGATAATAGTCTAAATTCATAAGGCTGCAGGAGCTCAGCCAGGGAAGTTGCAGCCTTGGCATAACCAGCCCGTGATCATCACTTTCATCAGTCAAAAGTGTGTGCTTAGAATGACGTTCCCGGTTCCCCCAAACATGCACAGGCTGGAAAGGGCCGTGCAGTCAGTGATCTGACAGCTGTGACCCCAGGATATGAAGAAGACAAAGGGGCCTCCTTTCATGTGTTGGCAGAACAGGAGTGCCCTGAGGAAGACTTGAGAAGAGACCCAAGGAAAACTCTGCCTAGTCGCCTATGGGAATTGGCCCCTAGTATCATAGACCTCTGACCATTGATCCTGGGGGCCAGCTTGGATTGAGTTGGAAGCATGCAGAGTCTATGTTGCCGTCTGCTCCCCAAGGAGCACCCCGTTGTCTATCCAGCAGACACGAGACAAGTCAGAGCACAACAAAACTCATGAGATAAACCTTTATCTAATAGTCAAGCAAAAGCAAAGTGCCCAGCAGCAGAACACGCAGGTAAATGTGCGTCTCTGAACACAAGGTCTTGCTCCACAGCCAGAGAACCACTTGCTAACAAAGCAGTCAGCGCAAGAGAGCAGCAAAGCAAGTGAGAACTCAGGGTGCTGCCGCACTCTGCCCTCCCAGAAAGCAGTCAGCAGGACAGACCAAATGTGGGCCCCGGGGGCTTGACCAAGGACACCTGTGGCCCACGGCTCCCAAAGGACACTGGGAAGCAAGGGTTTCTAAAACAATCTTGGAGGAACCTCTGGAATTACCAAAGGATGAGATCAGCCACCGCTCAGTATCTGAAACCAGAAAGCCGAGCTGTCACTTAAGAAAGGGGGAACTGTGTTGGTCAGGCAGGCTCAGGGAGCAAGGCAAACTGTCGGTCTTCCCTGGGGATTTGGAGCAAGCTTATTCCAGGCAGGTTGGGATCAGGGTGATGAGAGTGTAAAAGCATGGCCTGTGTGGGTTACAGAAGGGAGGTGACTTGCCTGAGCCTGGAAGCCTGGTTACCCTGGAGTGACCCCACACTGATGACTGAGCAGAGTGTGAGGCTGTCACTCAGGAGCTGGCTTTCAGAGGCGCGCCACGTAAGCCGGCTGTTACCGACTCATTAGCTGTCTGTAAAATCAGTTCTGGTATTTACCATGGCTGTAGAACCATCAGTCTTTTCCTCGGAGTCCGGGGGACTTTCTCATCCTCTAAAGATAAGTCAGCATGTGAAAAATTTTGGAGGCTGTTTCCGACGTCTCCAGACACCTGTATCAGGGGCTGCCCCAAAGAGGTGCTTCTGAGCAGTCCCTCCCATGGCCCTCCCAGGAAGCCCGTGTTCATTTACCGCCAGGGGGAACAGACGCCTGCCCTGGAGAACTCAGCCCTGCCCTCAGGGAGTTCCTGGTCTGGGGATGGGGACAGGAACCTTCTCACAGCCAGGACTGGAGCCTGAGCGGGAGGAGGGACTAAGCCAGCTGTCTGGGCCCAGCATCCCCACACGACCAAGGGACCTGTGATCTCCAGGCATCTTCCCACCAAGCCAGCCCAGCCATGGAAGAGGGCAGTGGGGGGAGTCCCCATTAGGCCATGGCCAGGACCCTCCCGGCTCCGGGAAGCCTCCGCCCCGGCCTCTCTCAGCCTCTCTACCATCTCCCTTCACAGACACAGGCCAGTGTCTTTCTCGCACCAAGACCTCCCCCCGGGCCCAGCTGTCCTGCGGCAAGGTGGGCGGCGTGGAGAGCTGCTTCCTTTCCTGCCCGGCCCACACGCTCTTTGTGCCAGGTAACCCGGCTGTCCCTGAGATGGGGTGCTGTGGCAGGGGGTTCTTCTTCCCTGGGGTCCCACCATTGCTCCCAGCTGTCCTCCAGGAAAGAGCCCGACCTAGGAGTGAGGGTCTCTGATAACTGAGTGACGCTAAGGCAGCTGTCTGGTTTTCTGTGGGCCTCACTGTCCTCAGTAAACCCAGTGGGCTCCTTCCTCCAGGCCACTTGCCTGTGGTTGTGTAGCGGAAACTGGCGGAAGAATCTGTCCTGATCTTCGTCTCACTCCACAATCCCTCGGAGGCCCCAAGAACCTGAGGGCCGTGGGAGGGAGGCGCACCCTGGCCCACCTCACCCACTGGCTTCTCTGCAGACTCGGAAAATAGCTACGTCCTGAGCTGCGGAGTTCCAGGGCCGCAGGGCAAGGCACTGCAGAAACGCAACGGCACCAGCTCTGGCCTCGGGCCCAGCTGCTCAGGTAACCCCTCGGCCTGTCCATGCTGCATGCCACTGGGTGACCTTGACTTTGCATCCAGCGTCATGCTGGCAGGGGAGGAAGGGGCACTGCCCAGGGAAGACCTTCCTGCTCTCGGTGGCCTGGGGCACTGGCGATGAGCCAGGCCCAGGACCTAGAAGCCAGCATGCTGCAGGCTGAGTTCCAGCCCAGAGTCAGGGGACCATGGGAGGGCCCTTCCGGCTCTGAGGTCACAGCCAGAGTGGTTCAGGGACCCTAACGTGCTGTGAGTGCACAGATCTCAGACTGTCTGGGTGGAGTAAGCCACATCTGCCGTGGCTAGTAGATTCTGCCGAGTCAGAGCTGGCCTGGCCGTGCAGAACGTGCCGAGAAGCGCCAAGGTGCAGCACAGTCCCAGCCATTCGGGAGCAACCCTCCGGGCTTGGTCAGCATGGCACAGCCAGCCTTAGCTCCTGCCAGCTAAGGAGCTGGGGATTGTGTCTTCAGCAGCTTTTCTTACTCAGGATGCTGAATTTGATAGATAGGTGCATTTCTGTATGTTTCTTTATTTTTATTATTTTCTTTTAACGGAGTCTCACTCTGTCACCCAGGCTGGAGTGCAGTGATGTGATCTTGGCTCACTGCAACCTCCGCATCCCAAGTTCAAGCAATTCTCCTGCCTCAGCCTCCCGAATAACTGGGATTACAGGTGCCCATCACCACACCTGGCTAATTTTTGTATTTTTAGTAGAGACAGGGTTTCACCATGTTGGTCAGGCTAGTCTCAAACCCCTGACCTCAAATGATCTGCCTGCCTCGGCCTCCCAGAGTGCTAGGATTACAGGCGTGAGCCACCACACCTGGCCCATTTCTGTATATTGAATGCATATGTGATTTTATTGTAAGCACCTGTGGTGGTAGGCTTCTTTAGTCCGAGGGCTATGATATGCTCTTGCAAGGAACCGGCAGTCCTGGGAATCTACAGTATTTCAAAGCACTTTCCCTTCCTTGCTCTCCTCTCTCTTCTGCTCTACGCTCTTTCCTAAAACACAGTCATGGCTTGGTGATGGGGAGGAGGTAGGAAGATCCGTTTCCTCCTCCAAAGAAGATCTCTGGTGGGTGGCCCCTGGGCTTGCGCTTGACGCCACCATCCATGTGTTCGCCTGTTTTAGGCCTTGCAGGGAGAGAAATGGGGCAGGAGAGAGTCCCCCACGCCAGGAGAGCTGTCAGGGCACAGGGACTCCGACCAAGCCCCACCCCCAGCCCCAGATGGATTTTTCCGTGGCAGCCCCTGTCCCCCACCACCTCCTTGCCTGCAGGAGAGGCCACCACCTGGGGGAATTTTGGCTTTCCCCAGATGCCCCTGCCACCCCCATCAAACAGAAGGCCCGCTTCAAGATCCGAGATGCCAAGTGCCATCTCCGGCCCCACAGCCAGGCGCGAGCAAAGGAGACCGCCAGGCAGCCGCTGCTGGGTGAGTGGGCCGCCCTGCTGCCAACCCACACCAAGGGGGCTGTGGGAGAGTCCTCATGCCTGGGAGCTAGGGCCCCGGGGTCCAGCAAGTCTGGTTTCCGAGGGTGGAGGCCTCTCCCACCTGGCAGCTGTTTATTGAATGAGAGTTTCCAAGGACCTTCCAGGCTGGGGGAACAGCAGAGGCAAACTTGGTACGAGGGGCCCCAGAGGAAGGCACCAGCTCTGTCGCCATGAAGATTCCTCCTCAAACCTAACAGAGCTTTCAGCACGCAGCAGGCTCTGCCCGGAGCCCGGTCTGCACTGGCCAAACCCTCAGCAGGCCCAGAGCTGGGGTCACAGCCTCATTCATGAATATGTAGGAGGTGCCTCCGCCTGCAGCAGCGTGATGGACCGGGCGTGAGACCTGGCTCAGCCGCCAGCGCCTCCTGAGACCCCGAGCCAGCCCTGGCCTTCTCTAGCCTGAGTTTTTCCATCTGCACCACGGACTGCTAGGCACAGGGGTCCTCGCTGATGGTACTCTGTGTGCAGGGCTTGGTAGGACCTTGCTCCCTGCCCCATGCCGCCTTTGCCACAGTGGTCCTTTCCTTGTCCAGACCACTGCCATGTGACTTTCGTGACCCTCAAGTGTGACTCCTCCAAGAAGAGGCGCCGTGGCCGCAAGTCCCCATCCAAGGAGGTGTCGCACATCACAGCGGAGTTTGAGATCGAGACAAAGATGGAAGAGGCCTCAGGTAGGTGAGGGGTTCTCTTGGGGGCTTCTGCAGGCCTGAAGGAGGACAACAGGCTGGGGGCGCTGCCAGGGGCCTGCCAGGCATGAAGCTGGGCTCCCACCAGAGCACAGCTGTGGCTGGAGACAGAGGCAGGCCCACAAGCAAAGGGGGGTGGCAGGGGCCAACGCCTGCAGCCAGGATAGAAGAGGCAGCCCACAATGAGACAAGGTGACCGCAAAAGTCACATGACCCTTATCTGCCCGTCCACACTCCTGCTGGGGCCCGGGAGGACAAATAGGTATAGCCCCCCCTAGAACGGTTGAGCCAACGACTGTCTTTCCTGGTTCCGGAAGGGGGTTCTAATGCTGGCTCGGGTGTCACAGCAGCACTTTGCTCTTGGCTATACGTGAGTGTCAACTTGTGAGTCACTGATGTTGAAGAGATGGGATCTGTCAGCAGATAAGTGTGGTGTGGGCCTGGCTCTGGGCTTGGGCACTGTGAAAAGTCTCCACCCAGGTAACACTCTCAGCCAGAGAGGCAGACGCACGTGTAAACCACCCATTGCCAGGTGAGACTCTCGGGGGGGGGGGGACGGGGCGGGCACAAGAACAAACACTGCATACAGCTGAGGTCTCCCCCCACGGGAGGGCTTAGGAAATGTCTTAGTCTGGCTGGGCGCGGTGGTTCACACCTGTAATCCCAGCACTCTGGGAGGCCAAAGTGGGTGGATCACTTGAGGTCAGGAGTTCAAGACCAGCCTGGCCAACATGGTGAAACCTCGTCTCTACTAAAAATACAAAAATTAGCCAGGTGTGGTGGTGGGCACCTGTAATCTCAGTTACTCAGGAGGCTGAGGCAGGAGAATCGCTTGAACCCGGGAGGCAGAGGTTGCAGTGAGCTGAGACCGAACCACTTCACTCCAGCCTGGGTAACAGAGTGAGACTCCATCTCAAAAAAAAGGAAATGTCTTAGTGTATTCGCGTTGCTAAAAGGAACACCTGAGGCTGGATAATTTATCAGGAAAAGAGTTTATTGGCTCTGGGCTCTGCAGGCTGTCTGAGAACATGGTAGCAGTGTCTGCCTGGTGAGGCCTTAGGCTGCTTCTGATCAAGGAGGAAGGTGAAGAGCAGCCGGCATCCCATGGCAAGAGGAAAGGAGCAAGAGAGAGGGGAGGGGGTGCCTACGTCTTTTCAACAATCACATCTCATGGGGACTAGTAGAGCCAGCAAGAACTCACTACCACCAGGACAGCACCAGGCCATTCATGAGGGACCTATCCATGACCCTGACACTGCCCACCAGGCCCCACCCCCAGCATTAGGGATCAGATTTCAGCATGAGATTTGGAAGAGACAGATATCCAAACATATCAGGAAGCCTTCCCAGAAGAGGCACCATTTGAATGAGAGCTTGGAATCAAGCTCACTGGGTGGAAGAGGTGGCGAGGAATGGCATTCAGGCAGAGGGAACAGAATGAGACCACCTGCACACGGGAAGGGGAACATCACACACCGGGGCCTATTGTGGGGAGGGGGACGTGGGGAGGGATGGCATTGGGAGTTATACCTGATGTAAATGATGAGTTGATGGGTGCTGACAAGTTGATGGGTGCAGCACACCAACATGGCACGTGTATACATATGTAGCAAACCTGCACGTTGTGCACATGTGCCCTAGAACTTAAAGTATTAAAAAAGAACGGGCAAAGACACAGAGGTCAGAGAGAGAAGGAGGTGTCCAGGAAGCAGTGAGTAGGGCCAGGTGGTTATACTTTGGAATCCACAGGGAGTGTCAGAGTGGAGGGGATGAGGCTGGCAAGGCCAGACGGGGCTGGACCTTAAATGGCCTTGGATTCAAGGCCAGAGAGCTGGACACTCTCCTGGGGACAGTGGCAGTCCTCGAGGTCTTTGAGTGACAGAAAGGAGTTCTTGCCCCATGAGTCACACCCTGAGGGGTGATGTGTTGCGGTGGCAGCTGCCTGGATTGCACTCAGATCTGCCGCGTGGCCTTGGGCAGGCCCTGCCTCCCAGCTCCGCAGCCTCCTCATCTGTCAGATGGGCACGACAGTGGCCCCTTGCCCCAGGACTGTTGTGAGAATGCACTGAGGTGGTCCGAGCCTAGTGCAGGGCCTGGCGCGGGGAAACCCTCAGCTAAAAAGGCAGCGGCTAGCAGGGTTGCCAGCGATTCACGTTCTGTCTCCCTGCCCCCGCAGACGCTTGCGAAGCGGACTGCTTGCGGAAGCGAGCGGAGCAGAGCCTGCAGGCTGCCATCAAGACCCTGCGCAAGTCCATTGGCCGGCAGCAGTTCTATGTCCAGGTCTCAGGCACTGAGTACGAGGTAGCCCAGAGGCCAGCCAAGGCCCTGGAGGGGCAGGGGGCATGTGGCGCCGGCCAGGTGCTACAGGACGGCAAATGCGGTGAGTCCTTGCCCATGGCCACTCAAATGCTCACTCTGTCCTTCCTTGCACATGAACCGGGGTAAACAGTGATGGGCATGCAGGGGAGACAGACACCTGGGGAGGGGACAGAGAGATGCAGAGGCCTGCTGAGGAGAAGCACTACAGCCCTCATGGTCATCGCTGTCATTTGAAGAGCACTCCTCTGTGCTGGGCCTCGGGCATATGATCACAGTCCTGGGGAGGGACAAGGAGTGAACAGGACAGCAAGGCCACGGTCGAGGGGCGCGAGGGGGCACAGGAACCAGAACAGGCCCTCTCCAGTCTGGGATGTGGTTGGAGGAAGCTTCCTGGAGGAGGAGAAGTCACGTGAGCTGAGACCTCAGGGCTCCGGGAGTCGGGGAGGCTGAGTCAGGGTTGGGGGACAGAACAGCGATGTCATGAGGCCTAGGGCCACCCAGGAGGGCAGCGTCGTGCTGCAGGGAAGCAGGTGAGGCCGGTCCCCAGCGGGCTGGTGTGGGCTGGAGGGGAGAGCCTGGAGGCAGAACAGGCAAAACCAGCACACCAGACGGTCCTAGTTTTAGTGGAGCTCGCATGCCCATGGGGAAGATAGACGGTGAGCCAGTGAACATGCCCACAGGTGCAGTGAGGCCAGAGGTGATGGAGCCTGGCAGGCCACAGACACCACTCTGAGTTCGACGGGGAGCCATAGGAATGCTTAGAGCAAGGACGCAGGCTCGTGCGCACTGTTATGGGAAGGCTGAGTAGAGGGGGCGGAGCAAGGACGGGGAGGAGCATGAGATGGAGGGGGCTCCTAGGGAGAGACAGACTTCAAGGACGACTCCAAGGGTTTGGCCAATTGGGCAGAGGTGGTATCGCTCCCTGATCCAGGCCAAATCCCCAAGGACTTGAGGAAGAGTGGGCTGCGGGCAGGGAAATTGAGGAAGAGTGGCCTGGGGGGAGGGAAATTGAGGAAGAATGGGCTGAGGGGAGGGAAATTGAGGAAGAGTGGGCTGGGGGGAGGGAAATTGAGGAAGAGTGGGCTGGGGGGAGGGAAATTGAGGAAGAGTGGGCTGGGGGGAAGGGGTGCACAGGCTGGACGTGTTCAGTTTGAGATGCTCACAAGTCATCCACATGGAGATGCTGGATGGGCAGTTGAAGCCACAAGTCCGAAGCCTCAAACAATAGGGTTGGCCAGGGGTGTAAACTGGGAAGCTGGTGGAGAAGAGGTGACACCTGGTGGGGGAGGGGGTGAAGCTGTTGGAGAAGAGGTGACTCCTGGTGGGGGGGGACCAGGGGGAAGCTGTTGGTAAAGAGGTGACACCTGGCAAGGGGGACGCTGTTAGAGAAGAGGTGACACCTGGTCGGGGGGAAGCTGTTGGAGAAGAAGTGACTCCTGGCAGGGGGAGGGGAGCCGGGGGGAAGCTGTTGGTAAAGAGGTGACACCTGGTGGTGGGGGAAGTTGTTGGTAAAGAGGTGACACCTGGTGGGGGCGGAGGAAGCTGTTGGAAAGGAGGTGACACCTGGCGGGGGCGGGGAAGCTGCTGGAGAAGTGGGGAAGCTTTTGGAGAAGAGGTGACACCTGACGGGAGAAGGGCCAGATTGGGGAAGCTGGGACTCTGGCTCAGACAGTGGAGGGAAACAGCCGTACTGACAAGGGGGGACAAAGAGGACTTGGTGATGTCATTCTTCTCTTTCTTTTTTTGTTTTTGTTTTTGAGACGGAGTCTCACTCTGTAGCCAGGCTGGAGTGCAATAGTGTAATCTCAGCTCATTGCAACCTCTGCCTCCCAGGTTCAAGCTATTCTGCTGCCTCAGCCTCCCAAGTAGCTGGGACTACAGGCACATGCCACCATGTCTGGCTAATTTTTGTATTTTTAGTAGATATGGGGTTTCACTATGTTAGCCAGGCTGATCTCAAACTCCTGACCTCATGATTTGCCCACCTCGGTCTCCCAAAGTGCTGGGATTATGGGCGTGAGCCACCGGGCCCAGCCTCTTCTACTTTCAATAACTTATTTTGGGCCGGGCATGGTGGCTCATGCCTGTAATTCCAGCACTTTGGGAGACCAAGACAGGTGGATCACCTGAGGTCAGGAGTTTGAGGCCAGCATGCCCAACATGGTGAAACCCCATCTCTACTAAAGATATAAAAATTAGCTGGGCATGGTGGCGGGCACCTGCAGTCCTAGCTACCAGGGAGGCAGACACAGCAGAATCACTTGAACCCAGGAGGCGGAGGTTGCAGTGAGCTGAGATCATGCCACTGCACTCCAGTCTGGGTGACAGAGCGAGACTCCATCTCAAAATAAAAATAAATAATTTCAAAATGTTATTTATTTATTTATTTCAAACTTTCAGAAACATTGTCAAACAGATAAAAAAACTTCCGGCCGGGCGCGGTGGCTCAAGCCTGTAATCCCAGCACTTTGGGAGGCCGAGACGGGCGGATCACGAGGTCAGGAGATCGAGACCATCCTGGCTAACACGGTGAAACCCCGTCTCTACTAAGAAATACAAAAATAGCCGGGCGAGGTGCAGCGCCTGTGTCCCAGCTACTCGGGGCTGAGGCGGAGAATGGCGTGAACCCGGGAGGCGGAGCTTGCAGTGAGCTGAGATCCGGCCACTGCACTCCAGCCTGGGCGACAGAGCGAGACTCCGTCTCAAAAAAAAAAAAAAAAAAAAAAAAAAAAAAAAAAAAAAAACTTCCATTCATCCAAATTCCCCAACTGTGCACATTTGACTGCATCCGCCCCCTCTGTCTCCCACACATCTATGCATGTGTGTAAGTGTGCATGCGTGTGTGAGTGTGTAGTCTTTACCATCCAACCCACATGCCCACTCCATTCAGCTTCAGCAATCCTTCCAACAATGTCCCTTTTGTCTTTCTGGTCCCAGTTCCCATCCAGAAAGACATGTCACCCTGCACTGTGTCTTCAGGCTCCTTCCGTCTGGAGCCGCTTCTCTCCTTTCCCTGCCTCTCCTGTCCTTGTTCCAACCTCATCTCCTCTGGGCTGGCACTCAGAGCTCCCTCTGGTTTTTCCGGGGGACCTGACTCAGGGCCCGGGGTCCGGCAGGAACCTCAGCTTCGAGGCCTGATCCTGGGTGCCCCATCAGCAGGCACAGGATACCCGCAGCCCACCACAGGATACCCCCAGCCCACCACACAGGATACCCGCAGCCCACCACAGGATACCCCCAGCCCACCACACAGGATACCCCCAGCCCACCACAGGATACCCCCAGCCCACCACACAGGATACCCGCAGCCCACCACAGGATACCCCCAGCCCACCACAGGATACCCCCAGCCCACCACAGGATACCCGCAGCCCACCACAGGATACCCCCAGCCGACCACACAGGATACCCCCAGCCCACCACAGGATACCCCCAGCCCACCACAGGATACCCGCAGCCCACCACACAGGATACCCCCAGCCCACCACAGGATACCCGCAGCCCACCACACAGGATACCCCCAGCCCACCACACAGGATACCCCCAGCCCACCACAGGATACCCCCAGCCCACCACAGAGGATACCCGCAGCCCACCACAGGATACCCCCAGCCCACCACACAGGATACCCCCAGCCCACCACACAGGATACCCCCAGCCCACCACAGGATACCCCCAGCCCACCACACAGGATACCCCCAGCCCACCACACAGGATACCCCCAGCCCACCACACAGGATAACCCCAGCCCACCACACAGGATACCCCCAGCCCACCACAGGATACCCCCAGCCCACCACAGGATACCCCCAGCCCACCACACAGGATACCCCCAGCCCACCACAGGATACCCGCAGCCCACCACAGAGGATACCCCCAGCCCACCACACAGGATACCCCCAGCCCACCACACAGGATACCCGCAGCCCACCACAGGATACCCCCAGCCCACCACAGGATACCCGCAGCCCACCACAGAGGATACCCGCAGCCCACCACAGGATACCCCCAGCCCACCACACAGGATACCCACGCCCCACCACACAGGATACCCGCGCCCCACCACAGGATACCCGCAGCCCACCACACAGGATACCCCCAGCCCACCACACAGGATACCCGCGCCCCACCACACAGGATACCCGCGCCCCACCACAGGATACCCGCAGCCCACCACACAGGATACCCCCAGCCCACCACACAGGATACCCGCGGCCCACCACAGGATACCTGCAGCCCACCACAGGATACCCGCAGCCCACCACTGGCTTCACTTTCACTCGCCATTTTCCCTCTGTGATTGATGAGTGTTTTCTGGGGACATTCTGAGTTTGGACCAATATTCTCCTCCTCATCAAACTTCTGCACAGCTCCCACCATGTCAGCCACCTCTACCATTCGTTCCACATGCACTAGTCATGTTCTCCTGCAGGAAAGCGGGTGGCCGTGGCCATTTACCTCTGGGTCTGTATCCCTGTAGACTCAGATCCCCCTTACTCATTGCGTTGTGATCCATTCCTGATGTTACTCAGTTCGGCGCTCGCTCTGTCGCCAGGGTAGCCAGGGGTGCCTCACTAGGCTGGCTGTTGGGTCTTTCTGACCTGCCACACACATGCTGTGAGCCTCCCCTTAGTTCAGATCCAGTCGACACTCTCCATCCCCTGGCATCAGCCAAATCCCCAAGGACCCCTGGTTCCTTTGAGAGGAGGATGAGGCGTAGAAACCAAAATCTGGGATATTCATTGCTCCTGGAGTACCACTGCCTCTAGGCCCTCTCATTGGACAGAACTGGAAAGCATAGGTGTGTATACAGGTGCGCACATTAGACATGGGAATCTTTGGCTGGGGGGTTCTAAAACCGTGAGTTCATGCCCGTGCCTCCCGTTCCACACCTCAGGGTCCTTTCTAACCTCACTCCCGTTTCCGCATTTGTAAGCATCTTCTCCAACGCTGAGAAACTCGGCTCCCTTTCTCCTTAATTTACTGATTTACTCAGTTTCCTTTCTTACTCATCAGTTAACATATTTGTTCAGTGTAGCCAACCATACTGCACCGTCTTCAGCCCATCATCTCCTCACTGCGCCCCTCCCACCTCCCCCGCCAGGCCCTCCTGCCCTTGCCTATTTCAGCCCCAGTCCCTCCGCACTGCCCCTAACTCCTCCACTCAGGAAGGACAGGGGAGCTTTGGGGTGAAAGGACTGTAGCATGTCCAAGTGGCGACATCCAGGAGGCAGTTTGCTAAAGCTGGAGGGCAGGGTGTGGAGCAGAGAGAGGACAGAGGTATGGGGGAAGTGGAGACCACAGGCTTTTATAAGCAGGTGGAGATGGAGGGGTCCACAGAGGACTCTGAGGTGCAGCAGCCAGAGGGCCCAGGCTTCATGGCCCTCACAGATGGCTGCCCCTTGGGTCCTGCCCCAGGCTCTTCTGGGATAGGTCTGGGGCCCCTCTGTGTCCTTGGGGCCCCAGGGAACAAGGACTGTGCCTATCAGGAGAGCCTGGGCTTGAGCACACGGGAGACACCCCCGGCCTCCCCACCTCTGCCTCCAGCAGCCTCTCCACTTTGCCTCTGCAGTTGCCTGTGGGCCTGGCACCCACTTCGGCGGTGAGCTCGGCCAGTGTGTGCCATGTATGCCAGGGACATACCAGGACACAGAAGGCCAGCTCAGTTGCACACCGTGCCCCAGCAGTGACGGGGTTGGTCTGGCTGGTGCCCGCAACGTGTCGGAATGTGGAGGCAAGTGTGGGCCTACCCTAGAAGGAGAGGTGGGGGTGGGGGTGGGCAGGGGCTCCTCCTGTCTCTGATGAGGCTCCTCCTGTCGAAGGCCCAGGTGCCTGGTGTGGCCAGAGAGCGTGGTATTTTCTAAAGTTCTTTGTCCTTTCCAAAGCCCTTCACGATGTCTGTGCAGTCATCACTTACAAAGTGCATGGCAGATCCCAAAGCGTCAGCAGTCTTGGAGTGCACTACAGTACTGAGCACCGCTCTGCACTCAGTGTGTTTCAGAATTGTATCATGCACTTTGGAAAGGACTTCACGGTGTGCAAACACTTTAGCATCCACAGATCAACTTACGGTTCTAAGGGAGGTACATAAGTGCCTTAGGAGGGACCAGACAGCTTACATGTTACGGAACGTTCCATTGTGACTGGAACACTTTGCAGAGTGTGTCTTATACTCGAGCAAGAACTTTGCTCTACACAAAGAACTTTGTGATGTGCCCACAGATGGTTTAGAAAGCCCTTGTTCAATTTCCCAAATACAATTCGGTTTGCAAAGAGCTTTTGCTTTTACCTCCCTCTCCCGACTTAATTCCATCTGTGAAGCCAGCTCAGGCTCCCCACGAGCCTTTCTTCCCAGACCACTGTGAGTTTCACCCAAGAGAATCCACGGGGAAGGTTCTCAGCACCCTGAGAAGCACGGTGCCTGTGAGGGTGGGGGAGTGGGGTCCCAGGATACCGGAGACCTCCAGCTTTCTCCAGGTCACAGAAGGGCTCAGTAGCCCAGCCCTGAGTCCGTGCAGGCTGCCGGCTGCTCTCTAGCCCACTGCCCGCTCCAGGAATGTGGTCTTCACCCCTGGGGGAGTGGCCACTGGTAGGCGATTCCGTGTTTGGGTAGAAGCTGAGAATCCCAGGGTCTGGGCTGAGAGGATGCTAAACCTGCCCCTCACTCAGTGCCAGAATGCGCTCTGCATCCTGAGTCTGCTGGAATGCTAGAACATTCTTTATGTGGAGCTGAAATTGGCTTTCCTGTGGTTCCCTCCCTTTGTCCCGGGGTGCTCTTGAGTACCTCAGAAACCCTCCCCAGACCCGCCTCCCTCTGCTCTGGTCTGGCCCTGTTGGTAGACCAGGCAGCGTCACCCCGAAGCTGAGCAGGTGCCCCTTCTGTGAAGACCCCGGTGCAGCCTGCCCCCCAGGGAGAGCCCCTCTGAAACACATGACCTCCCGTTCCACCCGTGGGTCCCCTTCCCAGCTCAGCAGCAAGATCTTGCTCTTCAGCCCCCAGGCCTTCTTGCTGGTGGGAGAAGGAAAGCCAGCTTGACCAAGGCTGCACATGAACCGCTGGCAACATCCGGACCAGGGCCCAGCCTCCTGCATCCAGGCTGCTGCGTCCTCCCCACCCCGTCCCCACCCCAGGCCTCGGGTGCCTGGTACCTTTTCCAGGGCCAGGCAAGGGCCAAGAGCAGGGCCTGAGACCACCCACAGCCTCGGCCCTGCGGCGCCCTCCTGCCCACCTGAGCCATGACCTCTGACTTCCAGGCCAGTGTTCTCCAGGCTTCTTCTCGGCTGATGGCTTCAAGCCCTGCCAGGCCTGCCTCGTGGGCACGTACCAGCCTGAGCCCGGGCGCACCAGCTGCTTCCCCTGCGGAGGGGGTTTGCTCACCAAACACGAAGGCACCACCTCCTTCCAGGACTGCGAGGCTAAAGGTGAGCATGTCCCCCCACCACGCCCGCCCACCCCAGGAGGCAGGGCTGCGCTGCTCAGGGAGGCTTCCCCGAACCCCTCTCATCTCCACGTGGCAAACCTCCCAGCTCAGAAGAGCAGCCTGGAGCTGTCAGGCGTGGGCGTGGGTGACCCACGGTGCCCTGCATTAGGACAGGGACGTCTTACAGCTGAGAGCTTTCTGAGCTCCAGGGGGAGCAGCAGCTCCTCAGAGCACTGGGGAGGGCTCTGGGGACAGGAGGGCTTAAGCAGCATCTAGAAGGGAGGTTGGGAGGCTCAGGAGGGGGCAGGAGTGTGGGGGCAGGAGTGTGGGGGCAGGAGCGGGATCAGGGTATCACTTCAACTGCTGTCTGTTCAGGGCACCTGGTCCCACCCAGGTCTGCATCCCGTCTTCCCTCACTCACCAACTCCCCCAAGTCCTCCCCATTCTCAGCTGCTGACCCTGCTTCCCCACCGCGCTCCCTCTCAGTGTCTGTCTGTCTGTCCAGGCAGCCTGGCCCTCAGCTCCCTGGAGCCAGCCACATCACCAGATACTCCCCTGCACATACAAACTGCTCTGAATTTGCCCATTTAAAAAAAGAATTGAAGCCAGGTGCGGTGGCTCACGCCTATAATCCCAACACTTTGGGAGGCCAAAGCAGGTGGATCACCTGAGGTCAGAAGTTTGAGGCCAGCCTGGCCAACATGGCGAAACCCCATCTCTACTAAAAAAAAAAAAAAAAAAAAAAAAAAAAAATACAAAAAAATGAGCCGAGCGTGGTGATGTGCACCTATAATCCACTACTCGGGAGACTGGAGGGAAAGGATCGATGGGGAACCGGGAGGCGGAGCTTGCAGTGAGCCAAGATGGCGCTACTGCACTCCAGCTTGGGTGACAGAGCAAGGCTCCATCTCAAAAAAAAAAAAAAAAAGAATTGCCCACCTCTAGCCCCCCACCCCGCCACCCTCAGACTCTGGCCGCCTGTCTCTCCTGCCCCAGCAACCTTGCAGAAAGAGGGTTTGGCCTCGCTGGCTCCACTTCCCCTCCTTTGTCTCCCCTGAATGCCTCTGGTCACATCCTCACCCCCACTCTCCCTGAAAATTGCTCCCATCAAGGTGGCCTGTGTGGTCCCTGTTTTGCTGGAGCGAACATCACATCAACCTGCCATGTGACCCCCACGCCAAGGGCTCTTCCCGGCCGTGGCGGAGCGAGGGTGGTGGGAGGTCATGGCGCGGTGGGGAAGAGCCTTGAACTCTGTGCCAAGACAGACCTCGAGGGCATGGGAGGTTCTGCACCCCTCCACACCCACCACACTGCCTTGTGTCCCCCGGCAGTGCACTGCTCCCCCGGCCACCACTACAACACCACCACCCACCGCTGCATCCGCTGCCCCGTCGGCACCTACCAGCCTGAGTTTGGCCAGAACCACTGCATCACCTGTCCGGGCAACACCAGCACAGACTTCGATGGCTCTACCAACGTCACACACTGCAAAAGTGGGTGCTGCTGCTCCGTGGCAGGAAGCTGGGAACGCAGGAGGGGCTGGGCAGGTTGTGGGGGCGGGAGGAGACCTGATCTCACACGAGGACACTGGACTTCTCCCGTTCCGTCACATCTGCTCTTGGGTGCCCTGCAGCCGTCTGGAGGCCTATGGCACCAAAGGGGCAGCCCTGGCTTGGCCCACTCTACAGAGCCCACAATGGTGCCCATCGTTCCTCAGTTCCCACTGCTCACCCGACACAGCCTGAGCCTCTGCCCCGGGCCAGGTCCTGCTCTAGTTTCTGGGTCTGCTGGGGGAGCTGACAGACTACAGGGGCACTGACGGGGCTGCTAGAGAGCACAGGGCTCCAGGCCCTCTCAGTGCCCCTGACAAGGCCCAGCCACAGAGAAATAGGGTGGGCCTGCAGGCATGGCAGCCCAGTAAGAAGAAGCCCCCAGGTTGGGCCCCGGGTAACCACAGGTGTGAACAGGGGACCTGCCCTCCTGCTCTGGGGGTAGCCCAGGCAGGGTCCCCAAGGAAGATGGGCTCAGGGTCCGAGGGCTGGTGTGGGAGGGGACAAGAGCACCTTCCAGCCCTGCGCTAGGCCTCCCGGGTGGTTAGAGGCCTGGCCGGCCAGGGCCCCGCCGAGCAGAGCCTGATGAGGCCCTTGGGCCACTGTGCCCACAGACCAGCACTGCGGCGGCGAGCTTGGTGACTACACCGGGTACATCGAGTCCCCCAACTACCCTGGTGACTACCCAGCCAACGCGGAATGCGTCTGGCACATCGCGCCTCCGCCGAAGCGCAGGATCCTCATCGTGGTCCCGGAGATCTTCCTGCCCATCGAGGACGAGTGCGGCGATGTTCTGGTCATGAGGAAGAGCGGTACGTGGCGGGTGGCGGGGACCAGAGGCAGCCGCAGCCCCGTTTGCACTCCCGTCTCGCTGCGGTTCCACCAGGCGGGATCGCTGCCTTCACAGGGCAGAGAGCAGGGCCCTGGGGCTCAGGGCTCAGGGGACCAGCCAGCCCCTCAGAGTCCACCTGGGAGGCAGGGTTGAAACCCACTTGGGTCTAAGAGCTGGCTTCACAGAGTTCTATGGAAAGATCCGGAGAGCTTAGGGTATCCTCAGAGTAGATGCTGGGACATGGTCAGGCCTGGTCTCAACTCCGGCCACAAGCCCGGCCCTCATCCCAGTGGTAGGACCAGCCGCAGGGCCCCTTCCTACCGCTGTCTGCCACACAGCTCAGGGCGAGACCTCAGACTCCAGCTCCACAGGTCTCCTCCTGCCTGCTGAGGTTTGGGGGACCACACGGCAGTCCCATGCACCACACAAGATACCAGCTCAGACAGTCCTCCTCACCCCTCTGGGAGCCCTGGACTCCTGGCTCATCCTCCCCCGTCAGGGCTCCTCCTGAGACTTCAGGGAGTGAAGGATGGAATGGCATGAGGACTGGTTAGTCCTCAGCAGTGGGTGTGACCGTGTGTGTGCCCAGCTGGCCACAGCAGCAGGAATGCCTGGGAGGCCCCTGAGCGCCCCCCAGCGCCAGCCAAATCCCTGCAGCGTCCCTGGCCAGGGGACCTCGCTGCTGTCGGGCTTTGGGTGCCCACGGGAGCGAGCTCCAAGTCTGAGTGTTAGGGAAGGAAGACAGGAACCCAGACACCCACAAACACTGGCCAGAGAAGATCTCTGGGTACACAGCGACCACAGAGACCGGCCAGAGGAGGGGGTGGGGAGGGGCCTGAGGGCTGAGCTGCATTATCCTGGGCAGGAGTTACTCAGCACAGCTAATGAGTAGACAAATGTCAGCAAGGCTGACGCAGCTGACCAGCCAAAAGCCGCAGTGTGCAGATGGGCAAGGGACCGGCCCGGGACCACCTTCCCCGCCCATTCCCCTCACCCGCTCCCCTGCCCCCAGCACCAATCCTTCTGTCTCCCACCACAAGGCTGAGCTCAAGTGAAGCCCAGCCTCTCCCCGATGAGGGGCTCTTTGGGAAGGCTCCCAGGGAGCCGGGAGGCCTTGCCGAGCAGCCGTTAAGTGAGGAGAGGCTGGGCAGGGCTGGGGTGCTCCCCTTGTCACCGCGTCTGAGAAAAGGATGGTTTGCAGAGTTTGGGAAGATTCACCTGCCGGTCACATGCTGTGCCCACGCTGCCGCACTCGGCTCCTGATTTCCTCCTCGGGAGATCAGCGCTCAGTGGGCCTTGCTGGTGCATTTGTTCTTGGGGAGAAGGGACTTCCCAAGTCTGTGCCTCTGGTTCCAGCAGTCAGTGCCGGTTCATCTCCCATGCCCTCCCCCAGCTTCCACTCCCGCCCTGGCCTTGCGCCAAGTGCAGGCCTGAGCCCTGTCATGGGGGAGCAGTTAGCTGGAGGGAGACAGAGACCCACCAATGGAGGGGCTGTGATAAGGGGTTCACCAGAGCAGAGCAGGATCTTGGGAGGGGAGGGAGGGCGCAGTCAGGGAGGCTTCCTGGAAGAGGGGACACAGAGATGGGTCTCAGAAAGACACGTAGGAACCAGGGTTGAGGGTAGGGAAGGGCCTCGGAGGGAGAGGGAACAAGCACGAAGATGAAGCTGTTGTGTTTGGGGTACCAGGCGTTCGGTGCAGGTGCTGGGTGGAGGACTGGATGGGAGGCAAGCGGCCTAGGGCAGGAGGAGCTGCCTACCTGGGGCAGCTCAGCAATGGTGCTTCACCTGCAGCCTCGCCCACGTCCATCACCACCTACGAGACCTGCCAGACCTACGAGAGGCCCATTGCCTTCACCTCCCGCTCCCGGAAGCTCTGGATCCAGTTCAAATCCAATGAAGGCAACAGCGGCAAAGGCTTCCAAGTGCCCTATGTCACCTATGATGGTAAGACCCAACTGTGTTCACGGCCCACTGTGCACGGCTCAGGCAGGGCCCTGGAGACAGAGATGAGTAGCACGTCCCCACCCTCAGGGAGCTGCGACCTGGCAGGTACAGACCCGGAAGCAGAACGAACCCTGTCAGGGGCCAGAGTCAGACAGGCCGAGGGTGGTACCGGGTGGTACAGGCAAGGCAGCAGTGAGTGGCATCTGCAGGCTTCAGCCAGGATGCTGCCCAAGCAGGGTTTTGAGGGCTAAATAGGGGGTTCTTAGCGAAACCCTGAGGAGGACAATACAGGTGGAGGGAGCCCCAGGTTCAAAGCCAAAGGCAGAGCTGCGGCCAGCCATAGCCCGGAGCCCGTGGCTGGAGCAGGGGAGGGAGGGCAGAGGCTGGAGGTGAAGGGGGAGCATGTGGGTCTCAAGCCCCTCGCCTTCCTCTCCCCTTGCTGACCCACGGCCCAGAGGACTACCAGCAACTCATAGAGGACATCGTGCGCGATGGGCGCCTGTACGCCTCGGAGAACCACCAGGAAATTTTGAAAGTGAGTGAGTTTATTGGAAGGGAATCCACGTAACCCTGGGATGGGGCCTGTGATGAGCCAGGACCGCCCCTGCGTCAGCCCTGGCCCCTGGAGGAGCAAGGGAGGGTGGGTGGTGATGGGAGAGGAGCAGGAGGCGTGGGGGTCCCAGAGCCCTAATGGTGAGGACTGGGTCCTGCATGTCTATCCCTCCAGACCAGGAGGCCTGAGGGAAGCTGTTTGGTGGGGATGTGGGGACCAGGACCTGGTGATGTGGCCTCGGGCACGTTCCTCACCAGCTCTCAGCCTCACTCTCCTCATCTGTAGAATGAGGGTATTCTGGGGGCTGTCTCAGAATCAGTGGGATCTACCCAGTGCCCCTGTCACTTGGAGACCCCCTGCCACTGGGACTGGGTTCCCTCCTCTTCCTGCTTCCAGCCTGGAGAGGCAGGGCCACCAGGTGTGTCACATGGTGGGTACTGGCCGGAGGCCCAGGGACCCAGGACTCACCCCGCTCAGCCCTGAGCAGCAGCACCATCAGCCCAGGAGCCCAGGGGTGTGGAGGACGAGGGCAGAGCTGGAGCGCTCCCGCTGTTGCCTCCTCTGAGGAAAGGATGCTTTGCAGAGTTCGGGAAGATTCACTTGAGTCTCCCCATAGTCTGCCAGTCGCGTGCTGCCGCCCTCGGCTCCTGATTTCCTCCTCAAGCCGTTTGGGCAGAAACCAGGGACACGTCCTGGGTTCTCTCCCCGCATCCCTGTTCCCCCAGCTCTGCCCTGGGAGCATCGCTCCCAAACTGAAAGCGTCCTGATGCTGCTTTGGGGACATAAACCCCAGCCAGGGAGCCGCCCTCCTCCACAGCAGCTCCCAGCTCCTCACACTCACCAGGGCCCCTCGGCCCATCTTTCCTTCCCCAACCTCTTTCCCCAGCAAACGTCCCCCCAGCCTTCCACCCTCAGCTGGGACATCCTGTCATCCTCTGGGCAGCCTGCCCGGACCCCCTGACCTGGGTACACCCTCTGCAGCCCTTGGGCCCCACGCGCCCCTCCTTCCTGGCAGCCACCGGCACTCACTTTAGCTTTGTTCTGTGAATATTTAGTCCCCGCCCCCCTTGCGGGGGAGGAGCTGCCAGGGTTCATGGTCAACGCTGCCTCCAGCGCTGGCCCCGCCCCAGCACAGAGGAGGGCAGGAGTGTCTGTCTCCAGGGTGTGGCTTCAGGGCACGCGTGTGTGGGGTGTGTGGGGAGTGTGCTGTGTGGTGTGTTCATGGAGGCATGTGTGCTGAGTTTGGAGGTGTTCAGTGTGTGTGGTGACTGGTGTGTGTGTAGGGGTGTGTGGTGGGTTTGAGTGTGGGGTGTGAGTGGGTGTGTGTAGTGTGTATGTAGGGGTGTGTGTTGAGTGGGTGTGTGGTGGGGAGGGTGTAGTGAGTGGGGGTGTGGTGGGCGTGTGGTGTGTATGGGGGTGTGTGTGGTGAATGGAGATGGGGGTGTGTTTGGTGAGTGGGAGTGTGTGGTGAGTGGGGTGTGTGTGTGTGTGTGGTGAATAGAGGTGTGTGGGGGAGTGTGATGAGGGGGGTGTGGGGGGTGTGGTGTGTGTAGGGGTGTGTGGTGAGTGGGTGTATGGTGTGTATATAGGGGTGTATGTGGTGAGGGGGGTGGTGGGCGTGTGGTGTGTATGGAGGTGTGTGTGGTGAATGGAGATGGGGGTGTGTTTGGTGAGTGGGAGTGTGTGGGGGGTGTGTGTGGTGAATAGAGGTGTGGTGGGTGTGGTGTGTGTAGGGATGTGTGGTGAGTGGGTGTATGGTGTGTATATAGGGGTGTATGTGGTGAGGGCGGTGGTGGGTGTGTGGTGTGTGGGGGTGTGTGTGTGGTGAATAGAGGTGTGTGTGTGGTGAATAGAGGTGTGTGTGTGGTGAATAGAGGTGTGGTGGGTGTGGTGTGTGTAGGGGTGTGTGGTGAGTGGGTGTATGGTGTGTATATAGGGGTGTATGTGGTGAGGGCGGTGGTGGGTGTGTGGTGTGTGGGGGTGTGTGTGTGGTGAATAGAGGTGTGGGGGGTGTGGTGTGTGTAAGGGTGTGTGGTGAGTGGGTGTACGGTTTGTACTTAGGGGTGTGTGTGGTGAGGGGGTGTGGTGGGTGTGTGGTCTGTGTAGGGGTGAGTGTATGGGGAGTGGGGGTGTGTGATGTGTGTAGGGGTGAGTGTGTAGTGAGTGGGTGTATGGTGTGGGGTGTGGTGGATGTGTACGTAGAGATGAGTGTGTGTCAGGACAGGTCCACCCTAGATACAGCAGATGCAGCCAGAGTCAATAGGACGAGGAGCCCTCACGCCCCAACAGGTGGTGGTCACCATTTGCTGAGCACCTTCCCTGGGCCAGGCTCTGGGGACTCTGTCAGGAACCAGACCTACGCCAGGCCTCACCTCTGCTCCATAGTTTCTGCCCAGGGTGGCAGCCAGTGCCCCACTGGAGAGACGAGAGCCTGGGGCTCAGAGAGGGCAGGGACTGCATGTGCCCTCCAGAGACTGCTCCGGAGGACAGCCCCCGTTTGCTGCCTAGATCCCCACAGCAAACCTGTGCTGAGCACCACTGACGACAGGCTCTCTGCTCACGCCAGTGCAGACCGTTTTCCTCACAGCCCCAAGAAGCAGCATATTCTGTGCAGGGAAGAATGAAATTCAGAGCAGCAAAGCCACGTCCCTGAGGTCCAGCGCGCCAGCTAGCAGGCCCGAAGTGATGATTTGGGATCTGCCGGCTGCAAAGCCTGTGCTCTTGGCTGAGTGTTCTCTGTTTGCAAATGTTGGTTGTGTTGTGTTGTTTTGCAGTGGAACCCTTTGTTAGTAAAATCTTTTTTGTTATTTGTTTTGAGACAGTCTAGCTCTGTCATCCAGCATGGAGTGCAGTGGCGTACCTCGGCTCACTGCAACCTCTGCCTCCCGGTTTTAAGCAGTTCTCATGCCTCAGCCTCCCGAGTAGCTGGGATGACAGGCATGCACTACCACACCCAGCTAATTTTGTATTTTTAGTAGAGATGGGGTTTCGCCATGTTGATCAGGCCGGTCTCGAACTCCTGACCTCGTGATCTGCCCGCCTCAGCCTCCCAAAGTGCTAGGATTACAGGTGTGAGCCACTACACCTGGCCTTTAGTAAAATCTTATTGGAATCCCAAGAGTTAATGCCAAGGATCTATTTAAAAACCAGTTACGGGCCAGGCGCGGTGGCTCATGCCTGTGATCCCAGCACTTTGGGAGGCCGAGGTGGGTGCATCACCTGAGGTCAGGAGTCTGAGACCAACCCGGCCAACATGGTGAAACCCTGTCTCTACTGAAAAGACAAAAATTAGCCAGGCGTGGTGGCACATGCCTGTAATCCCAGCTACCCGGGCAACTGAGGCAGAAGAATCACTTGAGCTCAGGAGGCAGAGGTACAGTAACCCAAGATCGCGCCACTGCACCCCAGCCTGGGTGACAGAGCAAGACTCTGTCTCAAAAAAAAAATTTAAAAAAAAACAATTATACTATTAAAACCAAAAGGTCTGTGGGGTCCTGAAACCCACGAGCCAGCCCAACTCTCTCCCCTCCCCCAGCCTGGCAACACCCCACAGACCCTACAGGCCCCAAGCCTCCCCCACCTCCCACCCACCCTATCTTACAGGACAAGAAGCTGATCAAGGCCCTCTTTGACGTGCTGGCCCATCCCCAGAACTACTTCAAGTACACAGCCCAGGAGTCCAAGGAGATGTTCCCACGGTCCTTCATCAAACTGCTGCGCTCCAAAGTATCTCGGTTCCTGCGGCCCTACAAATAACCGGGGGGAGCGGCCCTGCCTGGGGGTGGCCTGGTCCACGGAGGGCGCACCTGCCCTCCACAGTGGGAGCTGCATGGGCCACCTCGTCGCCTTGGGAACCCCATGGCACTGCTCTTCAGGGAAGCCAACCAGCCCATGGAGACCGAGCCCAGGCACCCTTCGGACCCGCTGCCCCTGTGGGAGCACCCTGCTTCAGGAAGCCTCCCTCCCTCCCTCCGCCTCCCTTCCCCAGGACACCAACAGCGCCCTCTCCTGAGCCCTGGCGGACGGACTGCAGGTAGCAGGATTGCAGGACCTCCGCCTGGCCTGGCATTTCAGGAGAGAGGGGAAGTAGGGCCTATGCTCTGGGAGGCATGGTCATCCGAGACAGGAGGCCAGGGCAGAGAGGAGGGGACAAAGGTGCTGTCTCGGGGAGGTCGATGAGCCTGTGCTAGCATCCGCAGGCCCCACGCTCTGCCAACTCCTCCAGCCACAGGCAAGGCCATGGCTCCGGGCTGTTACGCTCTAGGGGTTCTGTGATGGGATGGAACAGAGCTGCTGGGGAGGAGACTGGAGGTTTCTGCGTTCCTTCAACAGAACATTTAATGAAGTACTCTCTCTATATATAAAAATATAAATATAAATATATATATATATATATACACTTCTATTTGTGGGTACTTTAGGAAAACGCTCTTTGGTCACTGTAAATACGAATTGTGACCCCATCCCTTCCCGCATGAGCCCAGTGAGTCCTAGCAGCTCTCAGCCTCCCTGAACGATTCAACAGCTCCTCCCAACATCTGCCCTTCTGTTTCTGTGAGGCCGGCAGCCCTTGGGGCTAGGGAGAGCACAGCTTGCCTTGGACTTGCTTCCGAACACAAATTCTTCAAGAACTAGCTCAGATGCTCTGCTGGAGTGCTGACCTCACCCGTCCCCTTGCCAGCATCATCACTGCCCTTGGACAAGACTCAGTGGAAGATACTTCCCCTTGGACCTGTTCCTAGGAGGTGGAGGGGCCCCACAATAAACTGCAGAAGGGGCCTTGGCTCTGACCCTGTGGCAGTGACCTTGGGGTCCGTACTATGCCCAGGTGTCAGCAGGAAACAAGGCCTTGCTCACAGAAGCACAGGCTGTGCCACCACAAGGAGACTCAGAGCGGCCAGTGAGGGAAGGGGAGAGAGAGGAGCTGGCTGTCAGAGGCCTGGCTCCCAGCGCAGCCTCCTCTTGCTACACCATGCCGCCCCCACTTAGAGGGAAACCTCTTTCCTTTCCCGTAAAGGAAAGAGGTTGAATTGACTCAGAGTTCCACATGGCTGGGGAGGCCTCCGGAAACTTACAGTCATGGCAGAGGGTGAAGGGGAAGCAAGCACCTTCTTCACAAGGTGGCAGGAGAGAGAAGCAAGCAGGGAAATGCCGAGGGAAGGAGAGTCTGGACTATGACGGAGTGCATGTGTCCCACCCAGCCGGGAGGCCAGCGCTGGGGATGCCGCCAGCAGAACTCCGCGCCGAGGTCCAGGAGGCCGTGCCTGCTCTTCATCTGCCTGTGCGCTGCGGGACCTGCGTGGGAAATGGTCTGTAGGTTTCAGGTTAACAAATACTGAAAATCCCAAGGGACCTGGGAGACTCTTAAAATGAACTCCATTCTTCGGCTTGAAGTTGCCTCTAGGGTTCCTCCTGGTCACCCCCGGGCCCAGCCTGGCTGGCAAGACATGAACACGGTTTAAGAGGCTGTGGCACACTGAGGACTGCACAGATGGAGGCAGGCAAGCGAGGTCCCCGGGGGTTCAGGGCTTGGTGACGAGGTAGGCCGGTCATCACATATTCTACAGCCCAAAAGAGGGCTTGGAGCTCAGGATTACGCTGTCACGTGTGCCCACAGCAGCGGGGTCCCCGGCCTGGCTCCTGCTGCCATCAGCTGCCTTCTCTGCTGAAGTCCGACTCAAGGTGGAGAGAGAGTGGAGCCTCTGCACTTGGTGGGTAGGTCAGTGTCAACTAACAAGCCCTGCCAGGGGCCACTGCCCCTCCTCTGGCTACAGTCCACGCAGCCCAGCCCTGGTTTCCGGAAAGAGGCCTCCTTCCCTCCCTTTGTGGAGCCATCAGTCATCCCCAAGATGAGAGGCGAGCGTCCTCCTCGGTGAGCCTGCAGCAGCAGCTCCTGAGGGGGTGCCGGGATGGGTGTCACCTCTTCATGAGTGTTCTCCAGAGAAACAGAACCCAGAGGATACAGACGTAGAGCTGTGAGGGCCTGCATTATGGGAATTAGCTCACGGATTCTGGAGGCCAAGAAGTCCCACTATCTGCTGTCTGTGAGTGGGAGACCAGAAGAAGCGACACCGTCACTCAGTCTGAGTCCAAAGCCCAGGAAGCCGGGGGCCACCCTGTGAGTCCCAGCATCCAAAGCCCCGAGAACGAGGAAGACGGATGTCCCAGTTCCAAAAGGGAGGGTTCTCCCTTCTTCCCCCTTCTGTTCCACTGGGGCCCTCAACAGATTGGATGGAGTGGATGTCTTCACTCAGTCTGCCGGTTCCCATCCTAACCTCTTCTGGAAACACCCTCACATGTTTTCCCAGCTAGCTGGGTATCCTCCACCCAACCAAGACGACCATGCAATCAACCATCATACTTAAGGGTTTTTGGTTTTTGGTTTTTGTTTTTTGAGATGGAGTCTCGCTCTGTCGCCCACTAGAGTACAGAGGCACGATCTCAGCTCACTGCAAGCTCCGCCTCCCGGGCTCACGCTATTCTCCTGCCTCAGCCTCCCCAGTAGCTGGGACTACAGGCGCCTGCCACCTCGCCCGGCTAATTTGTTTGTATTTTTAGTAGAGATGGGGTTTCACTATGTTAGGCAGGATGGTCTCAATCTCCTGACCTCATGATCCGCCCTCCTTGGCCTCCCAAAGTGTTGGGATTACAGGCGTAAGCACTGCGCCTGGTCAGGGTTTGTTTGTTTGTTTGTTTGTTTGTTTTTTAATCCTTTCCAAAAACAGAAAGAACTCTTAACCTCTCTGAGCTCTTTCTGCAGTTCCTTTGGGTGGTTTTGAAAGTTGCCACCCACATACCCACAGATCCACTGCCCGCCTCCCCTCCCCTCATGTTCCAGGACTCACCACCGTGGTCAGACCGTGCCCAGCGTACCCAGGGCAAAGTTGGATGGGCAGGTGCAGACGCAACCCAGCCTTCATCTTGCTTTCCCTCGCAAGCCCTTCTATAGCTCGCAGCCCATGGGAGGGGCCGTGAGGAGCACAGGGTCGCCAGCAGCCCCCCTGGGCCTCCCACACCATCCAGGTGACTTGAAGTCCAGGGTTGGGCTCTGTCTTGAGTCTCCACATCAGTCTCACACTGGAGAACTTGGGGTCCCCCTGTTAAAACTAGAGCTGACCCTGGGCCTCAGGGCAGGATGGTCCCAAGGAGAACTCTGTGGACAGCAAAGCGCATTTCTTCCAGTTGGTGTGTTGTTGAAGCCAACGGCAGCTTGACTGATGTGAGGTGGCTGTTCCACCTGGTTCAAGATGGAGGTGTAGAGAAAAGAGAAGTGGGGAACAAGGACTGGGCCAGGTAGGATGGATCCACGTAACAAAGCCCAAGAAAAGATGGAAGCTGAGGGCGGAGAGTGCAGGAGGCCCCCATGCTGTCTGAGGGGGAGGCCAGCATAGCCCCTCCTCGACTGTCGCCTGAGCAGCTGATGAGGTCCCCAGCACCGCACACTGTGCTCCAGGGAGAGGCGCCAAGAAGCGAGCAGGCTGCTGGGAGTCCCCGCCCTGCTCTCTGGCTGGGATGGAGGCAGATGCCCGGTCTCCAGGCTCCTCCGAGCTTGGGTTAGCTCCTAGTGGAGCACTGCACCCCAGGGAACCGAAGGACCTGTGTGAAGACAGGCATGGAAAACCAGAGTGTCTCCCGTACAGCTTCCCAGGAGTTAGGGGGAACCCAGGTGTGGGGGGACTTTCTGCCTCACATTCCTGGCATTCCCCCCAAGTTTGTTTCCACTTTCCAGAAACAAACCACGGGAAGGGAAGGAATCTGCGGCAGGGTTTCGAAGCCAGCCAGGCCCTCTGTGAGTGAGGGCTCGTGTAGCTGCTGAGGGCAGCCTGCAGCCAGGCGGCCTCATCCGCTGCCCAGATTAGGCTGTGCCTTTTCCAATTCCTTCCCCACACCAGAGCCTCGCAGCCACAGCCACGCCAACCTCCCTCCTCCTGCTCTGGACTCTGCACCGGCCTCTCAAGCAGCAGAATCAGCCTGCGCTCCCCAGCCTCAGTGCCTCTGCCCCACACAAGTCGCGCTGGCCAGGCGGTGACCAGTTTCCCAAACGCTGGCTCCCCAAGGGGACAGTGTGGCCCACTCCTGCCCTGCCTCCATGGTGGCCCAGGCTCCAGGGCCCACGGTGGAGGCCTCGGGCAGCTTTCTCTCCGGCTACCCATTGGCTTGGGACACACAGATAAAATAGAGCTGAAACATGGGCCAAAACATCCCAGACAAGGATGGCACAAGAGGCCAAATTTGAAAGCCCTGGGAGAGAAGCCATTTCCCCCACTTCTAGCAAGCATGGTTTCTGTCTGAACGGCCTCCCTCTCATGCTCATTCTCCAGGGACGCACCGTCCGCAGGCAGCCTCTCCGTGAAGCCGCTCCCTGGGCTTGTCCACGGGAGGTGGCTCCTGGCCTGTCTAAGCCATACCGATGCTTAATGTACATTTTTGGAGTTGAATATTATTCCGTCACCTCCACCACCCCCAGCAGAAAAAACTAAGATACTGAAATAAGTTGAGTCATTTAGCAAACATTTACTGAGCACCTCCTGTGTGCCAGGCTCCTAGAAAGACAGGGGGTTGGTGCCCTGCATAGATGACAAACTGCCCCCGACAGCAGACAAACAGACACACTTCTCCGGACAGCAGACAAACAGACACACTGCCGCAGACAGCAGACAGACAGACACACTGCCGCAGACAGCAGACAAGCTGCCCCGGACAGCCTGCTCACCTTGCCTGCCACAGTGCAGGCCCCGCAGGGAGAAGCCTTCCTTCTCACACAAGGGGTCCAGCCATTTTCACCTCCCCTGGTCCATGCTCAGGAAGTCTGGTTGCCCTGGCAAACTGCAGCTGACATTGAGGTCCCTTTTCACCAAAGATGCACAAGATGTCCATGCCGAGCCGACATCATTCAGGCTAAGGGCAGAGGAGGTAATGAGGGGTGAGGGAGGATGTGGAGAGAGAGCAGAGAGCTCCTCCTATTCTCCTGCGGCTGCCTCTGCCCCCACAGCACCCACAGATCCCTGGCCCTTCCAGGAGTAAGTCCTGGGCAGGCAGAGCTGGGGTTGGCCTGATCCCACCTGCTTTGCTCTTGGAAAGGACATCAGGTGTGCGCAAAACATCCTTGGAGCCCAGACAACACAGGCATGGCCTGCGTGCCCTCCCAGCACCTGCTGCGATGGCCTCAAGGCCTCTCTAGTCCCCTGCTGCACCATGCCACTCAGAGCCCCTGGGTGAGCCCCCGGAACTGTCTGCATCCCCCAAGCCCCAACAGGAAGAAGGGAAGGGCAGGGAAGCTGACGCTCACTCACTGCCCACTGGGTGCCAGGCTCTGGGCTCAACCCTCTAATATCCACACATCCCATCCTCCCAGCCCCGTGTGGATGGTGGGGTTAAGACCATTCTTTAGATGTGGAAATGAAGGCTCCAGGAGACCACAGGACATGCCCAAGGCAAAGAGCTGGTAGTCCCTGGATTTGGGAATCAAACTCAAGCCCATCTAATCCCAGGGTAGGAAATGTCTCTAAAACGTTGATCAATCGGAAGCTTACGGACTGGAAACTGGGCCAGGTCAGCCCTCGTGGTGGAGTTCAGAGACAGAGAGAAGGTTGCAGGGAGGGGAGAGAACAGGAGGATCCGGGGCCAGGGTGACTTCAGTGACATTCCCTCCCTCCTTCACAAGCACGAAAAACTCGTTTGGAGAAAGGACAGCTTCTGCCTTCCCTACCAGGCAGACAGGGCATTCACTGTGCCAGTGTGAGCAGACACGGCCGGAGGCTCAAGTGCCCTTGCCGAGTGTCCCCACTGCCCTTGGGGAGGCCCCGGTACAGCCCTGCAGAGATGCGAGTAAGAGTGCCCAGTGCCCTCAGCAGATGGGTGGCAGAAAGCAGGAGGAGGAAGAGGGAGCTGACCAATGCCAGGTGTCTTGTTCACTGAGATCAGAACCTCCAACATGCCGAGCAGACCCAGGCCACGTCGCTCGGGGAACAGGACACCAGGGTGCTGTGCTCAAGGCCCGCAGGCTTCACTTCTGGCTCCTGTGAGGGCACGGTATCGTCCAGGCACTTGGCAACGACTCTGCCTACAAATACCGACAAAACCACATCTTCCTTTTAGTTGCCACCAATATTCAGTTTTGTTTTATCCATCATGTCCTCCATATGCATGTAATGAAACATTTGTGAAAATCACTTTAATAATAAACAGGAAATGAACCTAAATATTGCTCTTTTCTCTTATTGGGCAGAAGTCATGAGTTGGGGGGAAATGCTAACTGGAATCCAGAAAAGAAAAAATAATGGAAGAAATTTCATGACGCTATTGAGGACTGAAAGCTACAGTAACCTCTGGAAAACAAAGCAGCGAGCTGGAGATCTAAGTGCAGAGGCAGGGGGCGCCCACATTGAGGGAACAGACATGCTCCCAACTGGCAGAAGGCAAAATGTCCATATTGCAAATCCCATTTCCCCACATAACTCATGATGAAATGAGAGTTCTTTTTTTTTTTTTTCCCCCAGACAGAGTCTCACTCTGTCACCTAGGCTAGAGTGCAGTGGCGCGATCTCCGCTCACTGCAAGCTCCGCCTCCCGGGCTCATGCCAGTCTCCTGCCTCAGCCTCCCAAGTAGCTGGGACTACAGACACCCGCCACCATGCCTGGCTAATTTTTTGTATTTTTTGTAGAGATGGGGTTTCTCTGTGTTAGCCAGGATGGTCTTGACCTCCTGACCTCATGATCCACCCACCTCGGCCTCCCAAAGTGCTGGGATTACAGGCGTGAGCCACCATGCCCAGCCAAGAGTTGTTCTTTGACACTGGGCCTTTAATCTGGAAGTCATGGTCACAGTGAGCCTCAAGGAATGTACGACTCGTCGAAATTAGGCACACAATGCTCTGTGTGTGTGTGTGTGTGTGTGTGTGTGTGTGTGTGTGTGTGTGTGTATGCGCATGCACGGGTACACATTTCTATTTCTCTGGAATATGGCCCACAGCGTTCCTCAGGTTCTAAAAGAAATCTAGGGCTGGGTGCAGTGGCTCACACCTATAATCCCAGCACTTCGGGAGGCCAAGGCAAGAGGATTGCATGTGTCCAGGAGTTCGAGACCAGCTTGGGCAACATGGCGAGACCCCATCTCTACAAAAAATGAAAAATAAAAACTGAGCAAAAGACATATACATGCATTTCACAGAAGAAGAAACAGGATGGCCAATTACCATTTGAAAAAGTGCTCAATCTCGTTAATAATAATGGAAATACAGGCTGCTCTGCCTAGGAGTAGTCATGCTTTTGTTTCTTCTCTGATAAACTTGCTTTCACACACACACAAATGGAAGGATAAATTAAGACAACAAAAATATACCATGGTAGCACTGGGTTGGCAAAGAAAAGTGTGATAAAATCAGAATCAGAGAGGACATAGATCAACTGACTACATACAAATGGGGAATCTCTTTTTTATATATATGTTCCAGGAAATATACAAAAATATTCATAGCTTCATATTTATTAGAGCAAAAAGCTTAAGATAACCTAAGGCTCTTAATGAAAGACTGCATCATAGTCACATAATTAAATATTATGTAGCTATGACAGTTAACATCCCGCAACAAAAGGGATATGTCTTAAAAACATCACGTGCAGGAACAAGGCCAGGATGTGTGCCCGCACCACTCTGCTGGAGGTCTAGCCAGGACAAGTAGGCAGGAAAAAAATATAAACGGCATCCAGACTGGAACGGAAACAAAATTACCCGTTTCACATGTCCTGATCTTGTATATGGAAAATACTTAAGGAATCCACAAATAATTACTAGAGCTAATGAAATTCACAAGGTTACAGGACATAAGATCAATATATAAAAATCAGTTGTAGGCTGGGCACAGTGGCTCACCCCTGTAATCCCAGCACTTTGGGAGGACAAGGAGGGTGGAGAGCCTGAGCTCAGGAGTTCGAGACCAACCAGGGCAACATGGCAAAGCCTTGTCTCTACCAAAAATACAAAAAATTAGCCAGGCATGGTAGCACACACCTGTGGTCCTAGCTACTGGGGAGGCTGAGGTGAGAGGATCGCTTGAGCCTAGGAGGCAGAGGTTGCAGTGAGCTGACATTCAGCCACTGCACTCCAGCCTGGGTGACAGAGTAAGACCCCGTCTCACAAAAAGAAAAAAGAAATTAAAGAAGATCTGTATTCATGGGTTGGAAGACAGTATTGTTAAGATGACAGTACTCCCCAAATTGGTCTACAGATTCAATGCAGTAACGATCAACATCCTGGCTGGCTTCATGCACAAACTGACATGTGAATCCTAAAATTCATACAGAAATGCAAGGGACCCATAGTAGCCAAACAGTCTTGAAAAAGAACAAAGTTGGAAGATTCACACTTTTCATTTTTAAAACTTACTACAAGCTTACATTAATCAAGATTGTGTGGTACTAGCAGAAGCATAGACCTATAGATCAATAGAATAGAATTCAGAGTCCAGAAATGAACCCTTAAATTTATCATCCATCAGTTGGTTTTCACCGAGAGTGCCAAGATCATTTAATGGGGAAAAAAATAGTCTTTTCAACAAACGGTACTAGGACAACTAGATATCTACATTCAAAAGAAGGAAGTTGGATCCCTACCTCGTACACAAAAAATCAACTCAAAGTGATCAAAGACTGAAATGTAACAGCTAAAACTATAAAACTCTTAGAAACTAAGACAGATAAATAAGTCTTTGGAATCTTGAATTAGGCAGTGGCTTCCTTTTTTTTTTTTTAACTTCAATTTTTTATTTCCATTAAGTTTCAGGGGAACAGGTGGTGTTTGAATACATGAGTAAGTTCTTTAGTGGTGATTTCTGAAACCTTGGTGCACCCATCACCCAAGCAGTATACACTGTACCCAGGCAACGGCTTCTTTTTTTTTTTTTTTGAGACGGAGTTTCGCTCGTGTCACCCAGGTTGGAGTGCAATGGTGCAATCTCAGCTCGTCGCAACCTCTGCCTCCCAGGTTCAAGCGATTCTCCTGCCTCAGCCTCCCGAGTAGCTGGGATTACAGGCACGTGCCACAACGCCCGGCTATTTTTTTTGTATTTTTAGTAGAGATGGGGTTTCACCATGTTGGTCAGGCGAGTCTCGAGCTCCTGACCTCAGGTGATCCGGCCGCCATGGCCTCCCAAAGTGCTGGGATTGCAGGCATGAGTCACCGCGCCCAGCGGCAATGGCTTCTTAAATGTAACACACAAATAATAAGCCACCAAAGAAAAAATATATAAATTGGACGTAACAAAAATTGAAAATTTGTACTTCAAAGGGCTCTGTGAAGAAAGTGGAAAGATAGCATAATAGGAAAAAAACCTTTACAAATCATATATCTGATAAGACTCCATCCAGTATCCAGGATATGTAAAGAACTCTTACAACTCAACAATAAGACAAATAACCTAACTTAAAAATGAACAGGCCGGGAGCAGTGGCTGTAATCCCAGCATTTTGGGAAGCCAAGGAAGGCGAATCACCTGAGGTCAGGAGTTTGAGACCAGCCTGACCAACATGATGAAATTGCGTCTCCACTAAAAATACAAAAAAAATTAACCAGGCGTGGTGGCGTGCACCTGTAACCCCAGCTACTTGGGAGGCTGAGGCAGGAGAATTGCTTGAACCCAGGAGGAGGAGGTTGCAGTGAGCCAAGATCGCACCATTACACTCCAACCTGGGCGACGTGAGGGAAACTCCCTCTCAAAAAAAAAAACAAAAAAAAAACAAAACAAAAGAGCAAAGAAGGCCAGGCACAGAGGCTCATGCCTGTAATCCCAGCACTTTGGGAAGCCAAGATAAGAGGATCACTTGAGGCCAGGAGTTCAAGACCAGCCTGGGCAATAAAGCAAGACCCTGTCTCTGTATCAACAACAAAAACAGCTGGGCGCGGTGGCTCACGCCTGTAATCCCAGCACTTTGGGAGGCCGAGGCGGGCGGATCACAAGGTCAGGAGATCGAGACCACGGTGAAACCCCGTCTCTACTAAAAATACAAAAAATTAGCCGGGCGCGGTTGTGGGCGCCTGTAGTCCCAGCTACTCGGGAGGCTGAGGCAGGAGAATGGCGTGAACCCGGGAGGCGGAGCTTGCAGTGAGCCGAGATCGCGCCACTGCACTCCAGCCTGGGCGACAGAGCGAGACTCCGTCTCAAAAAAAATAAATAAATAAAAAAATAAAAAATAATAAAATGCTTTTCTCTGCAGCCCTCGCCAACTTGAGTTCGGAAATTTGAGCCTTTGCAGACCCACCTGCTTCCTACAATGGAATTGAACAAGTCTGAACTGGCGCATTTCGTTCAAACTCCGTTCAAACATGTTATCAAAATAGCATCTGAAACTCAAAAAAATTCTCAGCCTTTGTTTTTTTAGCAAATTACAATTCTTACAACATTGCAAACAGGAAGACATTAAAATATATCCCTATGGAGCAATAAAACTCAATGAAAGTTCAAAAGAGAATGTCTTTTGAAAGTCTGTAACTGAACTGTTTTTGTCTTTTAAAGAGGGAGTCTCGCTATGTTGCGGAGGCTGGACTTGAATTCTTGGGCTCAAGCGATCCTCCCGCCTCAGCCTCCCGAGTAACTGGGACTACAGACGCGGCCACCACCCCCAGTTCAACATCCCGACATGTAGGAGTAAACTCTTCTGACAGGTACACTTGGTCTTAATTGGATCAACTGACATTCTGAATCCAAATATAATTGAGAAGGGCCACGATTTTGCAGCATCCAAATCTGGTGAAGCACTCACAAGAATCGAGAGTTCCTTACTCCCCGGGGGCGGGGGCCTGCGAGCCCTGTGTGCCTGGTGCAGGAACAGCAGCGCCGCGTCACCCAGTTCCCCCTTCCGGGCAGTAGGTGGAGCCTCTTCCTGTCCTGACAGCGCCGGACATAGGCACCCCGCCCTCCCGGCATTCCCCTGCGTCGCCGCAGGCTGAGCGAGAAAAGCTCCGCCCCCATCGGGTGCGCGTGCGCACACGGCGGCAGCCAGACCGCAGGCGCCGCCGCAGGCGCGCGCCCCCTCCCTGCAAGCTCGCGCGCTCACGCACGCGCCCCGCTGACGCGCAGGGCCTGCCCGGGGGCCGCGGCGAACCGGGCTGGAGGCGGGCTGGGGGCGGGACGAGGGCGGGGCGGGGAGGGCCGGCAGGAGGGCGGGGCCGAGGGGGGCCGGGAGGAGGGCAGGGCAGGGCAGGGCAGGGCGGGGTAGGGGGCGGTGGGGAGGAGGGCGGGGCCTGGGGGGGCGGTGCTGGCGGCCGGGGGCGCCGAAGCGGGAGGGCAGGGCCGGCGGGCGGCGCTGGAGTCGGCGTGGGTGTAGGCGCCATGGAGGCCGAGCGGCGTCCGGAGCGCCCGCCTGCGGAGCGTAGCAGCCCGGGCCAGACGCCGGAGGAGGGCGCGGAGGCCTTGGCGGAGTTCGCGGCGCTGCACGGCCCGGCGCTGCGCGCTTCGGGGGTCCCCGAACGTTACTGGGGCCGCCTCCTGCACAAGCTGGAGCACGAGGTGCGGGGAAGGGCGGCGGGCACGTGCGGCTGCCGGGGTGGGAGCGCGGCGGGAGCCCGCGGCGCGGGGCAGGAAAGGGCGCTCTTGGGCGGCGGGAGCCGCGCTGAGCCACCCCGACCGCGTTCTGGGCAGTTCTGGAGCGGCGTGGAGTTGGGGGCCGAGGAGTGACAGCAGGAGACCAGGGTACCTGCGGCCCTGATCTGCCTGGGCCCGAGGCCGGCCGAGGGCTGCGGTGGAAACTTTAGGTCCTCCACACACGCGAGCCTCACAAACCCCTTTGAGGAGTGAAACTCATCTCTCCCACTTCACAGATGAGAACACTGCGGCTCCGAGGGTCCCTTCAGAGGGATTCTTTCAGCCGCTGCCTCACAGGGACAACGGGAACCCCGTGAATTTGTGTGACTGTAAGTGTTGGGTTCACCGAATTCAGTGTTTTTTCATTTTATTTGAGCCTCGGGTTCCCCTCATCTTGCAGGTTAAAGAAAACAGGCTGTGAGAGGTGGAGGAGAAATCTAAAGAAAAATGGAAAAGGTCGAGAAGCCTCTAGGTTCTCTCCCTTTTTGTGAGGACGGCCCATCCTGCTCACCTGCCTCCTCCACTCCAAAGCGTTTCCCACTGTCCTGGCTGGGGATGAGCCCTGGATTTTGATTGCGTAACCAGGGGCTGAAGCCACAGCGCCTTCCCGGGCTGGCTGGGGGGTCTTTTCTTTAGCTGGGACCCGGCATCTCCTCCAGGTGCCGCCTCCCCGACTGAGATGAGCCAAGTGGCGCAAGTGATGAAGTGGAACCCCAGAGCCAAGAACAGGGACCCGGGCCGGGAGCTAGGAGTCCCTGAGCCTGGCTGCTGGCCAGACCCTACGGTCTCTGAGCCAGTTTTTCTCTGTGTAATCCTGGTTGGACTAGGAACCTTCCTGCGGGAAACGTACAGCGAGTGGCACCTCCTTATGCTACAGTGTCACAGAGAGTTTCCTCTGCCCCTCACTTCTGCCATATGCTTTCCGAGGCCCACTCTGGTCCCAGGCCTGTGCTGGGTGGAAGGGACCCTGGTTTGTTCGTGAGGACAAAAGATTTCCCATGTGCTGTGTGAAAGGAGCACGGTGGGAATGACCAGCTCCTGCCCAGCCAGCTTCCATGGCAGCACGCCCTCCCTCGGGCAGTCACTCGCCCATCTGAGTCCTGTTCTCCATCCGGGAAGGGGATGGTGAGACTCCAGCTGGCTCCCACAGTATTGGAGGGATGGGAGGTGGCATGAGAAGTATGCCCGGCACACAGGATGGTCGCCACCGCATCGCGTCCCCTGCCCAGGCTGCCCTGCCTGCTGTTGCCCTACTAAGGGGCAGCAAGTGTTTTTACGTGACCCTCCCCAGCCATTAAGGGCAGAGCTGAGTCACTGCTTTACCAGACACAAACTTGCAGCTCTTCCGAGGGAAGCCTCCCGCTGCTGCTGGCCCAGGTGTGGGGGAGGCCGCCAGAAGCAGCAGCACCACCTGCCAGTGCCGTGGGCCCTTCCAGCCCTGGCCATCAGCCCTCCTGCCTCACCTTAGGCTGGCTGCCCTGGAAAGGATGGGGAAGATTTTTTTTTTTTTTTTGAGACGGAGTCTGCTCTGCCACCCAGGCTGGAGTGCAGTGGAGTGATCTCGGCTCACTGCAAGCTCCGCCTCCCAGGTTCAAACGATTGTCCTGCCTCAACCTTACCTAAGTAGCTGGGATTACAGGCGTGCACCACCACACCTAGCTAGTTTTTGTATTTTTAATAGAGATGGGGTTTCACCATGTTGGTCAGGCTGGTCTCGAACTCCTGACCTCATGATCTTCCCTCCTCGGCCTCCCAAAGTGTTGGGATTACAGGTGTGAGGCACCGCGCCCGGCCGAAGAGATGTTTTTGAAATGTCTACTCTTCTGTCTGCACAAGAAACCACCCCCCTTATCTCCTGGGGAGCTCTTCCAGTCCTGCCACGAAGGGGTTGTGGTTACCCCCATTTCACAGCTGGGTTGAAGCCAAGGCAGGCTTGAGGCAGGCTCTCTCCCTCAGCCTCAGACTGTCCCCTGGGGATTTGGGCTACTGGGGCGGAAGCCTGAGGTCTGGATTCCAGCCCTCTGAGCCTCCCCCCAGTCCTAAACTGGAGAAGGCAGTAGCCTCCCCGGACCCACCTTGAGGACTCAAGGAGAACTGGACGCCCCTTGTCTCAGGTGCCTTGTCTCTCACGTGACCCCTGGTTTGCTCCACCCTGGACTATCTGCCTCCAGGCCTTCGCTCTTACTCTTCCCTCTGCCTGGAGTTCCTTTCCGTCCTCACCCTGTAGCCTCATGTTTAAATCTTCCCTCTGGTTATGGTTCCTCATCCATAAAGTCTTCCCAGGCCCTCCAGGCCCCAGAGCAAATTTACCTGATACTCTCAGGTGACCTAGAACTTACTCAGCCATGAGCTCCCTGAGCGAGACCATGAGTGATTCGTCCTCATGCCACCAAAGGGCAAGTCCTGCCCGGTGCACAAAAGCTGCCTGCACCTGAGTAGTTAACTAGTTTCCAACTGCCGTTTTTAATCGAGTCGTGGGAAATAGGTGATCAGGAGGAACTGGCCTTTGTTGAGCCTCCACTGTGTGCCAGGACTTTTATGCACGCTGTTTGATTTCATTCCGTCAGTGTCCTGAAAGGTGGATGACACCCACTCTCACAGGTGAAGAAACAGTCTCAGAAGCGTAACAATGGCACCCCGTGCTTATAGAGCATTTGCTGTGGCCGGGCCCCACTCTGAGCTCTGGGTATGAATCATCTGATCCTCCCAGTAGTCCTCAGAGGGAGGTTCTGTTATTCCCATTGTGTGGATGAGGAAACACCCACGGGATAGTTAAGTAACTTGTTCAAGGTCACTTGTCTAGGAAGTGGTGAAACCAAGATTTGAACCCACACAGCCTGACTCCAGAATCTGCCCGGAAGCCCTCCTTGCCGGCTTGTGGCAGACAGTGCGTGAGTGTGGCTGGGCCAGGGACCCCTCTGCTCCACGCACACCGAAAGAGGTCACTTGCCTGCTTGACTAGCCATGTGAGGCAGGACCAAGGCCCTTATCTTCCCGTCCCACCTTGACCTGGGGCCTCACTTCCTGTTGGCCTGGAGTGGGTGGGGCTGGGCTGGAGGAGGCTTCTCTGTGAGTTGACTCAGCTGTCCTAGTGTTGAAGGGTTCTTCTGTGAGGGGCGCATTGGGGTGTGCCCCCAGCCACCAAGATCCTGACTCTTGCATTGACTTCTCTGCCTTTGGGGCCTCTCTTTCCCGGTAATGTGAAGAGGGTGGACTACAGATACCTCCAGCCTGTCCTCGAGGTCCCATCTGCATGCACAGCATCCCGTGGGACAAGGGGCTCTGGATGACAGCTCAGGCGATGGTGGGGTATGTTAGGTCCCCATTCTGACCCTGAAATCTCCAGGAGCTTCAATCTGCCCACCCATAAGACTGTGTGTAGTTGCATTAAACAGGTCCCACTCCTCTGAAGGAGACAAGTTTGTCCTTGAGGCCTGGGTATGGCACCTTGGGTGGCTTTCTGGAGCTGGTGGTGAAGGCATTAGGGGTAGGGTCTCCTGCCCATGCCCCTGCTGACCTGAGCTCTGGCCCCCAGGTTTTCGACGCTGGGGAAGTGTTTGGGATCATGCAAGTGGAGGAAGTGGAAGAGGAAGAGGACGAGGCCGCCCGGGAGGTGCGGAAGAAGCAGCCCAACCCGGGGAGCGAGCTGTGCTACAAGGTCATCGTGACCAGGGAGAGCGGGCTCCAGGCAGCCAACCCCAACAGGTAGGAGCCTGGCCAGAGACACCACCACGACCTTCACCTGGTGAAAGGTGGGAGATGCGGTAATGCAGATTCTCCTGGGCCCTGCACCTCCGCTGGACACCTTCCTCAGGACGGCTTTGTGGCAAGCACATGTGGCCAGCGGTGTGTCCATCCGGGCTTCAGAGTAGTGTCCATGGCAACACAGAGCATTCCTATGGTGACCGGATGGACTGTGGCCTGACAGCCTCTCCCAGCAGTCTCATTGTCACAGTGGTCCTGCTACAGGGCATTAGGAGTTCGTTTTGCCCGAGGTCACCCTCCAGGTTAAGGGTGCAGGTCAGCCTTACTCCTCCCCAGTCACAGCCCCTTTCTGGTCCTGCTGAATTGGAATCTGGGCTGGGCCCTGGAACACCTGAGGACCTGAGACCCAGAGCAGGCCTGGCCTTGCCAAGGGCCATGGAGTAGTTAGGGCAGAGCTGAGACTGTACCTCAGGCTTCCTGCCCCTAGGGACCAAGAGTCGCTATCCCTAGGACAGGCCTGCAGGCCCCTCTGCCAAAGGTTTTGTGGACCCTCGGAGAAACTTGCTGGGCGCCTGTGTCCATGCACAGCTCTTTGGGCAGGGGTCTGGTCTCTTCTGCAGAGCTTCTCCCGCCTCCTCCTCCAGCTGTGAGTGGGCAGTAGCAAGTCACCCCAGAAATACGGAGAGCCCAGCACCCCCGCCCATGCGTGCTCGGGCTCACCCTCCCCTTCAGGTTCAGTGAAGTAAGTTCTGTGCCGCTCAGGCCCAGGAACAGGTGAATTCAATGCAGTGGCTGCCCTTGGAGCTCCCAGCTCACGTTCTCTCTGGGGCCTACAACCACAGAACCCGCTGCTAGCCGTGTTGTGGGTGGTGGGAGGCTGGGAATCCAGAGTCTTGGATTTGGAGGCTGAGCGTTCATTTCAGCCCTACCTGCTTCTGGGCCTTTCTGCTTCCAGGCCTTCATCCCCCAAAGTCTCCCCTGATTGCCAGGCCCCAACAAGCTCTCCATCCTCATCCCCATGCCTCTCTTTGTACAGCACCCCTTGTTGCACGTGCCAAGGGTCACCCCTAAGGCCTGGCTCTGCCCTGCATCCTGTGGTCACCCACGGTAGCACAAGCGCAAGAGTAAACCCACTTATTTTAGGACGGGCCAACAAAACTCATGTAAGCACAAGAAGATAAATACTCCTGAACTTGCCCCCCAGCCTAAGAACTGGAACATTGGCTGTCCCTTTCATTTTAAAAAGGGGACAGAGACGGAGGCAAGCTGGGGGCTGCTTTGCCCATTAGACACCTGTTTGGTGCCTCCTAATCCGGCAGGACTCTGGGAGGATTATGGTCAGCCCTGTGTCCTACGGGGTAGGGACGGCTCGTCCTGTGCCACAGCCCCAACATGCTTCTGTAGGAGCTCAGCTGCAGGGATCCTGTGTGCGGGGACTGGACGCCTCTCCCACAGAAAAGCCTTGGTGCTTCCAGAAGACCTGGCTGCGTGGGTGAGGCGTGTGGTAGCCCCCGTGCTGTCTGCCTGCGCTGGCCTCCAGCGTGTAGAGCCTTCGCTTTTGTTGGTTTTTTTTTTTTTTTTTTTTTTTGGAGACGGAGTCTCGCTCTGTCCCCAGGCTGGAGTGCAGTGCACACTCAGCTCACTGCAAGCTCCGCCTCCCGGGTCTACGCCATTCTCCTGCCTCAGCCTCCCGAGTAGCTGGGACTACAGGCGCCCGCCACCTCACCCGGCTAGTTTTTTGTATTTTTTAGTAGAGACGGGGTTTCACCGTATTAGCCAGGCTGGTCTCAATCTCCTGACCTTGTGATCCGCCCGTCTCGGCTTCCCAAAGTGCTGGGATTACAGGCTTGAGCCACCGCGCCCGGCCAAGCCTTCGCTTTTGTTGAGCAGCTGTGGAGTGCCCGGCCTGCAGGCAGCAAGATAGGAAGCATGGGCCAGCCCTGCAGTGGTCCAAGGTCCAGGTTCATGCTAGTGACTGCTGGTGTGTTTATTGCAAGTGCTTGGTGGACAGTAGGTATACCACATATCTGGTCTCATCTGCTGCTTGTGACAGCCTAGTGACAGGCGGTAGAGACCCCCGCTACGCTGTTTGAGAAGCTTGAAGAGGAGGAGGCACTTGCTCAGGATCACACAGGCAGTGAACAGCAGCGCCAGCACCTGACCCAGGCTCACTGGAGTCCAAACTGGGCATAACTATGGCACCCGGTAGACCAGATCTCAGGAAGCTTGAGTCCTGGTCCCAACACAGCCCTGGGCCTCTTCCTCCCCCGACTTCCCTTTGCCCTGTGCCTGCCCGGCAGCCTCACATTGTGGCCTCTGCCTGCAGCATCTTCCTCATCGACCATGCCTGGACGTGCCGTGTGGAGCATGCACGCCAGCAGCTGCAGCAGGTGCCTGGGCTGCTGCACCGCATGGCCAACCTGATGGGCATTGAGTTCCACGGTGAGCTGCCCAGTGCGGAGGCTGTGGCCCTGGTACTGGAGGAGATGTGGAAGTTCAACCAGACCTACCAGCTGGCCCATGGGGTGAGTGGGTAGCTGGGCCCCGGGGACGGGGAGGACAGGCATGGGCACAGACCTCTGCTGCCCTGTGCCATCAGGCCGGGTGAGGGGCTGTCCAGAGCAAATAGCTCACTTTCTGCTGTGACTTCCTAAGGAGCATGCTATCCTGGGCACCTCTGAGCTCACAGGACGCAGCCCTCTCAGACTCCTAAACTCAGAGTGCCCAGATGACTCAGCTGCCGCTTTCCTGGCGCCTCTGATTCTGTCACTCTCTTAAAAGCCCTCAACCGTCCCTCACCCACCCCCGTTGGCCTCTCCGCGGACTCACCCCGTGCTCCAGCCCCTCACCACTCTTAGTTCAGGAAAAGACTCCTGCTTGTTTCTCATGATTTTAGCTTAGATGTCACCTCCTCCAGGGAGCCTTCCTTGAGCTCAAAGACTACTCCCCCCACCCCCCAGTTACCCACGAACCCAGATACAACCCTACGGGTGCTGGGCTGTGTGCCTTGTTACCAAACACCCTTTTACCACGAGTTGTCACACTGCGTTACCCAGGCCTGGGTCCTGGTCTGCAAAGGCAGGGCTGCTGTCCCGGAGCCCCTAGCTTAGCTAAAGGGCCTGGGGTATATGTGAGAGGGCCTCCAAGATCAGAGAGGTGGCTGTGGGCTGATGGGTGCTCGATATCTGGGTTCCGGAAGGGAGTTCCAGTAGGTGGACGGGTGAGCGAGCAGTGCCATGTGTGCTGTCTGCAGACAGCCGAGGAGAAGATGCCGGTGTGGTATATCATGGACGAGTTCGGTTCGCGGATCCAGCACGCAGACGTGCCCAGTTTCGCCACGGCACCCTTCTTCTACATGCCCCAGCAGCTGGCCTACACGCTGCTGTGGCCCCTGAGGGACCTGGACACTGGCGGTAAGTCCAGCACCTGCCCACCCTGGAAGAGGGGCCTCAGCCCAGTGTCCTGTCACCCTCTCTGATGGGCACGCGTGTCTTGGCACAGAGGAGGTGACCCGAGACTTTGCCCACGGAGAGACAGACCCCCTGATCCGGAAGTGCATGCTGCTGCCCTGGGCCCCCACCGACATGCTGGACCTCAGCTCCTGCACGCCTGAGCCACCCGCCGAGCACTACCAGGTGCGGCCCTCCCCGACCCCCGGGCCTGTCTGGTAGCTTCCAGAATGTTCTCTGTGCAGACACCAAATATTATTTAACCCCAGCCGGGTGCCAGGCCCTGAGCCAGTTACCATGGGAGGCAGAGAGAGTTCTGGGAGCCTCTGAGAGACGAGGGGCTCAGAGAGTGAACACAAGCTGCCTGCGGATGTGCGACTGGGGCTCCAGATCCCAGGGTGCCTGGTGCTGGTGTCCGTCCTCAGGGGGTCCATGCTGCTCCCTCAGGAAGGAGGGGGCTGTGCAGTTGGTCTTGGCCGTGAACCCCACTCAGCCCCGTCCTCATCTCACCGAGGCACAGAAACACCCTGTGTTCACATATCGCGTGCCTCCCTCACTCAGCAGGCCTGCAAGTTACCATCATGGTCACTGTTATTGATAACAAAAGTGCTTTCAGTCTCGGTCAGGGCCCCGAGGGACCCAGCTGGGCCACTCGGAAGTGCCTGGCTGGAGGTAAGAGCTCATCCAGGCCCCATACAAGGAGGCTGGCGGGTTAGGGAGCCAGAGTTGACGAGGCTCCAGTGCCAAGGGAGGAAGAGGAGCCTATGGGAACGTAGCCACCTCCAGGACCAGTCAGGGCTGGGTAGGGGGCTCCTACCCTGACCTGTCTCTCCTCCTTCCCTTCCCCTCTCATCTGTTGCTGCTTCCGCAGGCTGGAACCAGCCTACAGGGGAGCCTGTGCTTAGTACTTTGTGGCCATGTGCCACTCAGTTCCTTACAATTTTACAGTTCTGTTTTTATCTTCATTTTACTGAGGATGAGGACATTGAGACACAGAGAGGTTAAGTCACTTGCCAAGGGTCACACAGCAGGTGGAAGAGCCGGAGTCCAGAACCAAGGGAACCTGGCGGCTTGTGGGCTGAGGCTGCAGGCTTGCCCCACGGTGACCGAAGTCGTCCTTTTTGCACACCAGGCGCTCACTAAGTGCCTCGGAGTGTTGCAGGAAGGGTTAGATGAATGGGCGCGTGGAGTGGTGGTGTGCTTGTGAGGGCACTCCTCACTGCAGGGGTGGGCTGTAGGGGGGCCTCCTTTCACTTTCGGTCTAAGTCATTGATGATTGAACCAACCATGCCAAAAACAAGGGGGTCAGTCTTATTGGTTCAAAGGGTGCTTACAAGCCTCCTGGAGCCCCTGCACCAGGAAGGTGCTTAGTACACGTTTGCCTGAAAAAGTGAATGCGTTTGTGGATGCAACTGGAGGGACAAACGCTTCCTGGTCTTGGGGTTGTTTGTTAATGGAACATGAACTAAAAGTTCATGTTTTTCCTTGGGAAGCTCTGTGCTGACCAGGAAAAGGAGAAGATACAAGGCCAGGTGTCCTTGTTTTTTTCCCATTTGACCCTTCACAATCAGGTCTGTGCTCTGGGCCCAGGATTGCCTGTATCGATTAGCTATGGCTGGGTAACAAGTAACTCCAAAACGTAGCACCTTAAAACAGCAAACATTTATTCTCTCACACGATTTCTGTGGGCCAGGAGTTCAGGAGTGGCTCAGCGGGGTGCCTCTGGCCTCAGGTCTCCCTCGAGGTACACAGGCTGCCCATCGGGCTGCGGACCCGCTTCTGTACAGCATATGTGCATGCCTGCTGTGTTGGTGCTGGCTGTTGGCAGGAGGCCTGCGCTCCCTGCCTTGTGGGCCTCTCTGTAGGAGTGCTCAGGTGTCCCCAGGATGTGGCACCTGGTTTCTCCCAGCGCAGGCGATCCGAGGGAGAGAGCGAAGAGGAAGCCTTGGGCTTCATGGCCTTGTCACAGAAGCAACCCTGTCCCTCCCACCCTTTTCCTGCTTGTTAGAAGCAACTCAGAGATGGATGCGGCTCTGCCTTTGGAAGAGAGTGTCAAAGAGTTTGTAGGCATGTTTTAATCTTTTTTTTTTTTTTAAATAAAGATGAGGTCTTGCTTTTGTCCAGGCTAGAGTACAGTGGCATCATCCTAGCTAACTGCCACCTCTAATTCCTGGGTTCAGGCAATCCTCCTGCCTCAGCCTCCCAAGTAGCTGGAATTCCAGGCAACGGCCACCAAGCCCCACTAATTATTTAATTTTTCTGTAGAGACGGGTCTCAGTATGTTGTCCAGGCTGGTCCTACACGCCTGGGCTCAGGCAGTCCTCCCTCTCAGCTTCCCAAAGTGCAGGCATTACTGGCTTGAGCCACCATGTGCAGCCACATGGCCATGTTTTAAATCATCACACTGCTGAAGCTCCGGACAGCCCTCGGGGCTCCTCCCAGGAGCAGTTTAGCACCTTCTTTCCCGTGTGATTTCGAGGTAGCATTGAGAAGATGTGCAACAATGTTTACCTTGTTCTTTTGACACCAAACTAAGACCTGAGGGGCCTGGACCCCCAGAATCCTGGGGTGAGGGGGTGGTTAGAGGCTTTGGGGTATTGGGAGGGAGGAGCAGCCATATGCCCCGTGAGGCCATAGTACCTGACGCCAGGCAGGGAGCCTTGTGTCCCCTCCCTCTCTTCCTTTACTTTTTTTTTTTTTTTTTTGAGATGGAGTCTCACACTCTTTCCCAGGCTGGAGTGTAGTGGTGCAATCTCGGCTCACTGCAACCTCCACCTCCTGGGTTCAAGCGATTCTCCTGCCTCAGCTTCCTGAGTAGTTGGGATTACAGGCACACGCCACCACACCCAGCTAATTTTTATATTCTTAGTAGAGTCGGGGTTTTGCCATGTTGGCCAGGCTGGTCTTGAACTCTTGACATCATGTGATCCACCTGCCTTGGCCTCTCAAAGTGCTGGGATTATGGGAATAAGCCACCACGCCCGGCCTTTCCCTCCCTTCCTTGACCTCATCTCTACCTCCGATGTGTTTCCTTCTAGGCCATTCTGGAGGAAAACAAGGAGAAGCTGCCACTTGACATCAACCCCGTAGTGCACCCCCACAACCACATCTTCAAGTGCGTAGCCCCCACTCCTTAGCCTGAGACTTGTCCCCAGTCGCCGCCTCCCACTCTTCGTGGTTCCCACAGCCCCAGAACAGTGCTTGGCACATGGCGCACAGCAAGTCAGCTGTGTCCTGTCTGGGCGCTGCAGTGACAAGTGCAGGGAGTAGTTCTTGGGATCCCAGAGAAAATGCCACGGAAAGTGCAAGAGTGAGCAGGGCTTTCTGGAGATTTTTTTTTTTTTTTTTGAGACGGAGTCTCCCTCTGTCACCAAGGCTGGAGTGCAGTGGCACGATCTCAGCTCACTGCAACCTCCACCTCCCAGGTTTCACACCTCACCCGTGAGGCCAGGCATGGTGGCTCACGCCTGTGATCCCAGCAGTTTGGGAGGCCGAGCCAGGCGGGTCACCTGAGGTCGGGAGTTCAACACCAGCCTGGCCAGCATGATGAAACCCCGTCTCTACTAAAAATACAAAAAAAAAAAAAGTATGGCACGGTGGCGGGCGCCTGTAATCACAGCTACTCGGGAGGCTAAGGAGGAAGAATCGTTTGAAGACTCTTCCTGCAGTGAGCTGAGATCAGGCCATGGCACTCCAGCCTGGGCTACAGAGCAAGACTCCTTCTTAAAAAAAAATAAAATAAAAATATCCTTGAAAGTTAAAAATAGGAGGCCGGGCGCGGTGGCTCAAGCCTGTAATCCCAGCACTTTGGGAGGCCGAGACGGGCGGATCACGAGGTCAGGAGATCAAGACCATCCTGGCTAACACGGTGAAACCCCCTCTCTACTAAAAAAATACAAAAAACTAGCCGGGCGAGGTGGCAGGCGCCTGTAGTCCCAGCTACTCAGGAGGCTGAGGCAGGAGAATGGTGTGAACCCGGGAGGCGAAGCTTGCAGTGAGCGGAGATCTGGCCACTGCACTCCAGCCTGGGCGACACAGCGAGACTCCGTCTCAAAAAAAAAAAAAAAAAAAAAAGAAAGTTAAAAATAGGAATAGGCCATGGAAATGCTGGCAGTGGGTAAAGGGTCCCCTGGGCAGAAGCATTGGCCACCACCAGTCCCCATCCCACCCCGTCCTCTGGGCACCAAGGGGTCCCTTTACCAACCCTGCATGCCATGGGGCTGCTCCACTTACCCGGATGCCATGCTCATCCAGTCCTGGAACCCGACACCAGCCAGGCCTGTGCGTGCCGGCCCTCCCCAAAGCAGGGAGCCTTTGCTGGCTGGGAACATGCTGGGCATCTACAACAGGCACCCGGGCTGCCAGGAGGGGCCCCTCCCGAGAGGCTGCAGGTGTGGCTGGTGAGTTAAGGAAGGCCAGGCCGGCAGGTCCAGGCTGGACACCTTGTGGAAACAGGCACAGGTGAGGACCCAGAGATGCAGAGCAGGTTCCGCCTTAGCCTTCACAGGAGCCCCTCCCTGAGGCTCCCAGATACTCCCCTTGGCTGCCTAAATTTGCTCCAGCCAGGAACAGGCAGCCTGCTCCCCTCTGTCCCCTCCACCGGGCCTGAGGGCTTTCCTCCTGCTGGCCTCTGCCCCAGCTGGGCAGCCCAGGGGCTCTTGCTGAGACATGAGTCTGGTGGTGACCTGGCCGGGGCCTAAGGTCCCTCCACCTCCTCTGGGGCAGAGGCCTCATGGAGGCCCTTGGTGTGCCCGTGTGAAATTGGAGGCCCTGAGTTCATCCTTTTTCCATGTGAGAGGAAAGAACTAGCACATAATAAACACCCAAATTATGCCATTTAATTTTAACGACAAATGTGAGGTGGACGGTGTGGTCCAGTCCTGAAGATGGGGAACCAGGAGTCACAAGGGTACGGGTTGCCCCCCTCCCTCGGCAGATCGGAGGGAGCAGGTTCTGAACCTGGGCTGTCCAACATCGTGACTCAAACCCAGAACTCGCCTCTGCCTCATTAGCTTCAAAACAGGGAGGGGAGTCCCTGAGCTAGGGCTGGTGCTGGAGTCCTACTTGGACACTCGGGAGCCGGGGTCACCCAGCTCGGGCTGTCCCCACAGGGTCTACACGGACGTGCAGCAGGTGGCCAGCAGCCTCACCCACCCGCGCTTCACCCTCACCCAGAGCGAGGCAGACGCTGACATCCTGTTCAACTTCTCACACTTCAAGGACTACAGGTGAGGGCACCTCTGGCCACAGGAGTCCTCCCAGTCAGGGCCTCTAGGCACCGCCGGCCTCCCCTTGAGCTGGCGCACCTGCCTCCGCCCTGCAGGAAACTCAGCCAGGAGAGGCCGGGCGTGCTGCTGAACCAGTTCCCCTGCGAAAACCTGCTGACTGTCAAGGACTGCCTGGCCTCCATAGCGCGCCGGGCCGGCGGCCCCGAGGGCCCACCCTGGCTGCCCCGAACCTTCAACCTGCGCACCGAGCTGCCCCAGTTTGTCAGCTACTTCCAGCAGCGGGAAAGGTGGTAAGTCTCAGACACGGCATCGGCGCGCTCCGTGGCCCTTTCCCCCAGCCCAGCCTCTGTGTCCACCTGCTCCTCCGTGAGCACTCACTGTGGAAACCATGGTGCGGGAGCCGAGCTCTGGGTCCCGAATGTCACGGCTGGCCTCATGGACTGCAGGACCTCTCCAGGCTTTTGCTGGGGCTGTCCTCTCCACCGCAGCGCAGCTCCCTGGGCTCTGGCCAACCCCTCCTCATTCCCCAAGCCCCTGCCTCTGACAGCTCCTCTCTGGTGCCCACTCAGCTCCCAAGGAGAAGTGGGCCACCCACTTCTGCCGCTGTGTCCTGGGGTGGCACCATCTGGGAACACAGGCCCCAGGTGCCACCCAGACAGCCCTTCTGCTCCCCAGGGGCGAGGACAACCACTGGATCTGCAAGCCCTGGAACCTGGCTCGCAGCCTGGACACCCACGTCACCAAGAGCCTGCACAGCATCATCCGGCACCGAGAGAGCACCCCAAAGGTGGGCCCTGCAGCCCAGGAGCCCCGGGGCTCAGGGCCCTGGCTGGACAGTGAGAGGTGGGGCAGAGGGGACCAAGTGTCATGGTCCTCATGGACAGGTCCAGGCTGGGCAAGGTGGCTTACACCTATAATCTCAGCACTCTGGGAAGTGGAGGAGGAACACTTGAGCCCAGGGGATTGAGGCTGCAGTGAGCTGTGATCGTGCCACTGCACTCCACCCTGGGTGACAGAGCAAGACCCTGTCTTTAAAAAAAGAACTGTCCTGGGTGCATCTACCCTCCAAGTCCCTACCACATGGCATGCCAGGTATGGCTGCCCAGCAGGATGAGGTGGCTGAGCCTGGACAAGGAGCCTCTCAGAGCCGTGGTAAAGACTCGTAGTGAGGGGACATCCAGAGGCAGTATCAGGATTGCAGGGCACAGAATCCGCCTGGGCTGTATACCTTGTCAGAGGCTGGCAGGAAATGCACCACAAGGAGGATTGGAATGGAGACTTCAGGCCGTGGGGTGGGGGTGGATGGAATTATGGGTGAGAATTTATATTCCATTTCAATTAAAAATGGTTATAAAGACTTTGCTGCAGAGCGTGGTGGCTCAAGCCTATAATCCCAGCACTTTGGGAGGCCAAGGTGGGCAGATCACCTGAGGTCAGGAGTTCGAAACCAGCCAGGCCAAAATGGAGAAACCCCTTTCTGCTAAAAATACAGAAATTAGCTGGGGGTGGTGGCGGGCACCTGTAATCCCAGCTACTTGGGAGGCTGAGGCAGGAGAATCACTTGAACCTGGGAGGCGGAGGTTGCAGTGAGCTGAGATTATGCCATTGCACTCCAGCCTCGGTGACAGAATGAAACTACATCTCAAAAAAAAAAAAAAAGGACCGGGCACAGGCACAGTGGCTCACACCTGTAATCCCAGCACTTGGGGAGGCCGAGGCGGGCAGATCACAAGGTCAGGAGATCGAGACCATCCTGGCCCACACGGTGAAACCCCGTCTCTACTAAAAATACAAAAACTTAACTGGGCATGGTGGCAGGCACCTGTAGTCCCAGCTACTCAGGAGGCTGAGGCGGGAGAATGGCCTGAACCCGGGAGGCGGGGCTTGCAGTGAGCCCAGATCATGCCACTGCACTCCAGCCTGGGCGACAGAGCGAGACTGTCTCAAAATAAAAAAAGACTTTGCAGCAACCTCGGCAGGTTTGAAAAGGCAGAAGGAGGAGTAAAGTGCAGCCCTGTCTTTGCCCCCGTGTGGTTTTGTGTGCTCAGGAGCCCCAGAGTGCTCTGTCCTGGCCCAGCAAAGGGGAGACGAGGGCCACCAGTGAGCTTGCGCCTGTGTCCTCCAGGTTGTGTCCAAGTACATTGAAAGTCCTGTATTGTTCCTTCGAGAAGACGTGGGAAAGGTGAAGTTTGACATCCGCTACGTCGTGCTGCTGCGGTCAGTGAAGCCCCTGCGGTTGTTCGTGTATGACGTGTTCTGGCTGCGGTTCTCCAACCGGTAAGTGGAGGGCCGGCTGGGTCCAGGGTCAGGGAGCTGGGGGACCGGGTGGAGGTAGCGGGTGGGCGATGGGCCCTTTTCGGAATCAGAAAGTGTAGTTGGAAGGTGCCCTCCATCACTCACCCCGCGAGCGGCCCTTGGAGCTTGTCTCCCTTCGTGGTAGTTGGCGGTGACTTGCCCTGCCCACATCAGAGTTCTGGCGTTGCCCACAGTAATGGATGTGAACATTCTTTGTAAAAGAACCAGGTGCCGTTTTTATGGACCTGCAGAGACTTCACAGCTAGTATCTCACTCACCTCCACCCCAGCTCAGTGAGGCCGTGGGGCTCCCCCACCCACACAAACAAGGGAACAGGCTCCTGCCCGGGCAGCAGGTGGTCCTGCCCCAAGCCCTGAGCCCCTAGCTGGGAAGGTTGAGTGGGTGGCACCTCCCTCGCAGGGACAACGCTGGCTCAAGAACCCACACGCGCTTGTCTTCCAGGGCCTTCGCACTCAACGACCTAGATGACTACGAGAAGCACTTCACAGTCATGAACTACGACCCGGACGTGGTGCTGAAGCAGGTAGGGCCTGAGGGAGGTGCAGAGCAGGTTCACACGGAGGCCAGGGCACACCCAGACCCCACCCCGCCCACACTGCCTCCTGGGAGGACTGGCACACGGGCCGATCCCAGGAGCCGCCTCCTGAGTTCCTGCTATGGAAGGTGATTGTTAGCCCTGCCACGATGAGCCGGGCTGGGCTCTGTGTTGTCTCAGGTAGGCCTCCGGGTACTCGCTGTGTTTGAGACGATGCGGACACGGGGATGTGGCCAGCAGCAGGTTGAGACAGTGTGTTCCCAGCCAGGGCTTAATCCTCACCGCCACTTCAACCGGAAAAGCACACCACCCTGTGAGTGCCAGGGCAGGCAGGGCCGGGAGGCACAGAGATGCATATGCTTAGAGGCCCCACCTGGTCCAGCTGCCTGCTGGCCCGTGACCCTGCCCGGGTCTAGGACCTCCTGTCCTCCCTGGTGCACAGTGCTGAGCAGTGCCCTGGGCAGTGGGCACTCAGTGAATGGCGGCTCCACCATCTGAGCACCTGGAGCTCAGGGACATCTGGACAAAGGCCCTTCCAAGATGGGGGCGAGAAACAGAGGTGGCCAGCCAGTGCACGGGGACAGGTAGGCACAGCCTCCACAGAGGCGAGAGGCCAGCTCTGGGTACAGGAAGGAAGAAAGGAAGTCCTGGAAGGCCTCTGTGACCTGGCTGGTTAATGAGTGTTTCAGATGCACAAAATGCCTACCCCACCCTGCCTATCACCAGCCTTGCAGGCGCCCTGGACTCCCCATGCAGCCAGCCCCAACGCTCCCCGGCTCCTGAATTGTGTGGCTGTCATTCCCAGGCGTGTCTTGTTCTTTTCAGCATGAGTATGTCCCTGACCATTCAAGCTGCTGTTTTGCTCACTCAAGTTTTTTGTTTTGTTTTGTTTTGTTTTGTTGAGAGACAATGTCTCACTCTGTCACCCAGGCTGGAGTGCAGAGGCGTGATCTCGGCTCACTGCAATCCAAGTCTCCTGGGCTCAAGCCATCCTTCTGCCTCAGCCCCCTAAAGTAGCTGGGACTACGGGCACGTGCCTCCACGCCCGGCTAATTTTTTTGTATTTTTAGTAGAGACAGGGTTTCACCATGTTGCCCAGGCTTGTCTCAAACTCCTGGACTCAAGCGATCTACCTGCCTCGGCCCCACAAAGTGCTGGGATTACAGGCATGAGCCACCACGCCCGGCCTCCTCCTTAGGTTTTTATGTAAATATCATCTTATGGAACAGATCCTTCTGCAGCTTGCTTTGTTGGCTGAGCGGCGTGTTTTGAGGCTCAGGGTTGTTGCTAAGTGTGGCTGCAGGTGGTTATCCGAGGTCTTCGCTAACAATAAACCATGGCACGTGCACACGCGTGGAGGCACCTGTCCATGCCCAAGTCTGAGGAGTCCTCTAGGAGGACTTGGAGAAAGGGCCCTGCCATGCCCTGGTGACTGTACCAGCACACACTCCTCACAGGGCCCAGCGGTCCTGTTGCTTCTGTCGCTCTTATCCTTGCCTGTGTTGAAGCCTACTCCCTAGGACCCAGAGCCCCCAGCAGGGCCCCAGGACGTTGCTGGAAGTCGCCCTCAGGTTCCGAGCCCCTCCCTTCTGTACTTCGGGGATCATCCCAAAAGCCCTCTCCTGGAGCCCTGTGCCTGGGGACGTGCGTCCAGCATGGCGTGGATGGCGGGCTTGCGTAGGGACCTTTCCTGGCTTGTCCTTTACTGGGAGAAACCTGAGCCGACTGCCACCTTCATCGGGTGTGTTTTGGGTAAAGTCTTGAGGCCAAAAAGATCTTGCGTCCCTCAAGCACTCGGAGCTGGTGCTGAGCCGGGGCACAGGCGGGCCCCGCGGGGGGTTCTGAGCTCCGCCTCCTTCGCACTGTACTGACTGAGTGTGAGGCTGGGTGCTGGCTCAGGCCCTGCAGTTTCTGGAGCTCTCGATGTTCAGTGTGTCGTGTGAGCCTCACAGCCGCCTGGCAAAGTCAGTTTACTGGGCAGGGCACATTTTTCCACTTCACAGAGGGGGAAGCAGGCTCAGAGAAGTTAATCCGTTCGTCCAGAGTCACGCAGTGAGACCCGGGGCCCAGACTCCATCTCCTACCTTCTGTTTGGACCCTGAGGGGCTGGGGCTGGCTGCCTGCTCCTGGAACCCCCACCCAATGTCAGAAGCTTCTGGTCCAGGCAGTGGCAGGCTGCCTGCTCCCTGGCCCGGCAGGGCCTGTGCAGAGTGTGATGGGCCCTGTGCGGAGCGCGATGATGGGCCCTGTGCGGGGCGCGATGATGGGCCCTGTGCGGGGCGCGATGATGGGCCCTGCGTGATGTGATGTGGCCTCTGCGGAGCGTGATGTGGCCTCTGTGCGGAGCGTGATGGGCCCTGTGTCTGTTGCAGGTGCACTGTGAAGAGTTCATCCCCGAGTTTGAGAAGCAATACCCAGAATTTCCCTGGACGGACGTCCAGGTAAGTCCTGTCCTGTACACCATTGCAGGCCAGTGGGGCGGGTCCCGGGCTGGGGGCCTGCAGGAGCTGCTCCCCTCCCTCTCGGCTGGTGTGGGCTGGGAGGGACCTTTGTCCTCTGCAGTTGGTCCTTCTCCCCAGAGGCTGGCGAGACAGCGTGGGCTCCCCTCCCTTTCCACCCTGGGTGTTTGTGGGTGCTCCTGAGAGGGAGGGGGCTGGAGGGGCTGGTGGGGCTGGTGGGGCACCCCTGGGACAGCCAGAGGACGGCAGCACTGCCTGAGCCCGGAATCCCAGTCATCTGGAGACGTAGGCTGGGCCCCCATGTCCGGCAGCAGCATTCTGGGTGCTGTGTTGAGCTCCTTGGGGCAGTGGGGAGCCACAGGGGGTCTGAGGCAGGAGATGGGCAGATTTACAGAAGGTGGGCACCAGGAGTAAGAGGGCAGATGCTGGGTGGAGGCGGCCATGGTGAGGTCTAGAGACATGAAGATGTGGGAAGGGGTGACTTGGACCATGTGGGGCCCAGGGCTTCAACAGGGGCAGCAGACCCCCATTGAGAGGCTGTCTGAGCAGGCCTCATGACTCAGCCTCCTCGGTCCCCAGGCTGAGATCTTCCGGGCCTTCACGGAGCTGTTCCAGGTGGCCTGTGCCAAGCCGCCGCCCCTGGGCCTCTGCGACTACCCCTCATCCCGGGCCATGTATGCTGTCGACCTCATGCTGAAGTGGGACAACGGCCCAGATGGTAAGAGGGGCGCCCCATCTCCTGATCCAAACCAGCAGGCGCCCCCTCTGCCAGCCAGCCACATGCCTGGAGAAGGCAGGGGGCTGCGCCAGGCTGTCCTCTGGCTTGAATCAGCCAGGAATCTGGGTTGGGGGAAGTGCCTGCGGTGCAGAGACTGTAGGGGACGAGCTGCGGGTTGGGCCTCTGTGTCGGGGAAGAGCTCACAGGACAGGAGACCCGTGTGAAAGGCACCCTGACCCCAACCCACACCACCCTGGCCGGCCTCCCCTGTGCCAGACCCACACACTCCCCACACACTCTCCACTGCTGCTGCATGTCTGCTTTTTTTTGACTAAACTGAACATTCAAGCCTAAAGGGCCAGGCTGTCATCCCTAGGGCTAGAGGCAGCCCTGGCCTCTCCTGGAGAAGCAGATGTCAGGCCAGGCCTCCCCAACAAAGTCAAGAGACCCAAGTTCTAGGTCCGGGCTTGCCCTGCTCATCCCCTGGGAATCAGGGCCCAGGTTCACAGCCTCCCCAGCCTTTGCTGGGTCCCCAGGCCATTGGCCCTGCAGAGTGAAGCCACCGAGCCTTCACACTCTGCTGCGCTCTTTGCCGTCAGGAAAGCGGGTGATGCAGCCGCAGATCCTGGAGGTGAACTTCAACCCCGACTGTGAGCGAGCCTGCAGGTACCACCCCACCTTCTTCAACGACGTCTTCAGCACCTTGTTTCTGGACCAGCCCGGCGGCTGCCACGTTACCTGCCTTGTCTAGGCACTCGCTGTCCCCAAAACCTGTGCTTGGGGCAGGATTCCAACCTCAGTTCTCTGAGCTGCTTCTGCAAAGGCCCCCATGCCCCTCCCCACACCAGCTCTGGGCATAGCCTCAGCCCCAGGCCTCTGTCCTCCCGAGCCATCCTCCCGGCCTCACACTCCGGGAGCACAGCGTCCTCCTCCCACCTGTGGGTCAGAGCAGGACAGTGATGGTGTCCCCCGGGCTGAGCACCGCCCCAGGCCCTGCCCTCACCCCTCACCACCATCCGTGCACTGATGAGTCTCCAGTTCAGCCAAGGGCTTCGTTCCTGGCATGGAGAATTTGTTCCTGGCTGCTGTGTTTCCAGGAGGTGCTGGGGGAAGGGTTCCGTGGAGTGAGACAAGGTGTCCTCGGGGGCAGGGTTCCACTGGGAAGCGTCTGGGAGCCCTGTGTCACACAGTGCAGGCCGGTTTCTCTTCCGGGGTCTCTGCTCTTATGCATCAGAATGACCTCGGAATGGGTGTGGGGCCCCACACTGCACCCACAGGGCTCTTTGCGACGGGGGCCCAGGAGCAGCCTGAGGCTACCACCAGGCAAGCCTGCCTTATCACCCATTCCAGCTCACCCAGGACCTTCACCAGCAAACCTCCTGCTGAGGTCCTGGCAGGAGGCCACTGTTAACTTTTCCGTTTGCTGAGGGTCACAGACCCCGACAGGGAAGTCGATACCTGTCTTCCCAGTGGTTGCCCTGCTCGCTGGGCACTCCACGGAGTCCTGCCCTCCTCTGAAATGGGCCAGGATCCTTCAGCAAGGGGCGCCTGGGGCTGGGACTGATTGTGGACGGCGGAGCACCGACAGAAAAGGATTCCAAGGAGAACTTCAGGTTAAAGTCAGATGCCACCTACCAGGGTCTACAGTCAAAATGTTGACTTTTTCTTATTTTTTAATGTATGGGAGAAAAATGTAAAATTCCAGTTCTTTTCTAATTGTGTTTCTGAAATTAGGAGTCAGCTGCCAGCGTTATTGTGTGGCTGCAGTATGCCTGGGCCCAGCTCACGGGCAGTGGGTGGCCTAACTTCCCAGACAGGCGGGAGCTACTTCCAGAGCCTTCCAGTGCGTGGGAGGGCAGGGCTAGGTGTGGCGGTGTCTCCTCTTTGAAATTAAGAACTATCTTTCTTGTAGCAAAGTTGCACCCGGTGATGCTGCCTCCTCTCTCCGTGTTGTCTGGGCCCCTGTTTACAAGCACACCTTGCCCTTTCTGAGGGGAGCCATGCTCTAGCCCCTGGAGAACCTGTTGCAGGGGCAGGGCAGGCCCATCGCCTTTGGCAGCTCCTGGAGAGCTGTTGACATGCAGTCCCCCTTTATTGGTTTGTGCTGCAATAAAGGCCATCTTCTCTTACTTCTGCCCTCTTTTCTCTTTGGACCCCGGAGCCACAGGCTCAGCCTGGCCTATCACCCCGGCTGTCACTGAAAAACCCCAAATACCAAGAAGTCACCCAGAAAAAGTGGGAGAAGAAATAAGATGGCCTTTAGATCGCAGGCCTCCACCCCAAAGTCTGATTTCTCTGCTGGATCTGTTTCCAAGTTGGCCAGGAGCCTCAGTCCTAGTGGCCCTAGAGATAGCGGCCTCCCCACACTTGCCTCCTTGTCCTGGGGTGGGGACAGTGAGAAACCCTGCCCACTGGGGCATCTGCAGAGCCCCTCAGGCCACTGCTGGGCAGGTGCATGGACACCGTCAGTGGGTGGCAGCAGCGCCACATGGTGACCAAGGAGGTTAAGATTCAGAAGGCAGGCCAGGCATGGTGGCTCATGCCTGTAATCCCAGCACTTCGGGAGGCTGAGGCAAGCGGATCACAAAGTCAAGAGATGGAGACCATCCTGGACAACATGGTAAAACCCCTTCTCTACCAAAAATACAAAAAAAAAAAAAATTGCTGGGCATGGTGGTGCATGCCTGTAGTCCCAGCTACTCGGGAGGCTGAGGCAGAGAAACGCTTGAACTCGGGAGGTGGAGGTTACAGTGAGCCACTGCACTCCAGCCTGACAACAGAGTGAGACTCCGTCTCAAAAAAAAAAAAAAAAAAGACACAGAGCGGCCCCGAGGCAGGCTGCCTGGACTGTGCTGCTTCTCTCCTGAGCCTCTCTTTGAGGGGAGGCCTCAGGACTGATGCCCACATGGACTCTGTCCAGATGCTCAGCAGCCAGTGCTCTCACTGGTTCCCAGCTCACTTAAAACCTGGTGCCCAGGGAGCAGCTGGGACAGCCCCCAGAATCAAGACCACATGGTCCAGGCTTTCCGTGCTTGTAGATAGCTGTTCTCTGTCCCCACATGTCCTTGCACCTCTGCTCACTGCAAATGGACACCCCCAAGGAAGGGTGGACATAGAGACCCAGGGACTCCATGAGCTGGAAGACCAGCTGGCTCCAGGTGCTAAGGCAGTTGCCAGGAGATGTTTATCCCACTAAATACTTCTTCCTGGTACTCATTTGCAGCCTCGTCAATCTGTGTTAAGAAGCCATCCAAAGCCAGAATTGACCAGGCACAGTGGTTCATGCCTGTAATCCCAGCACTGTGGGAGGCTGAGGTGAGCGGATCACTTGAGGTCAGGAGTTTGAGACCAGGCTGCCCAATATATTGAAATCCCATCCTACTAAAAATACAAAAATTAGCCAGGCATGGTGGTACGCACCTGTAATCCCGGCTACTCTGGAAGCTGAGGCAGGAGAATCGCTTGAACCTGGGAGGCAGAGGTTGCAATGAGCCAAGATCGCGCCACTGCACTCCAGCCTGGGCGACAGCATGACTCTGTCTCAAAAAATAATAAACCCACTCAGCATCAAAGCCTTAAGTCCCTAGTGGATGACAGCAGCTTAGAAAAGGGGGTAATGTTGTCTGTTACGAGCAGGGGAAACGTCGCCAGGCTGTTAAAAAGAAACTGGCAGATGAAATGCTAAATGTATTCTCTCGCCCGTTTTTCCAGGGCGTTTTTATGGCAATGCATGTTTTGTGGCCAGCAGGAGCCATGTGGGATATTTGCTACAGATGAACAACCCCACGAGTTGGGCGGAGATGGCAGAAGTCTGGGTTGCACTTTCTCCAATCCCTAAGTGTCTGGTATGCACTCAGGTGTCCCTTGACACTTCAAAGGATACCCCTGTGCCCTGCGGGGATGGTGCCTGCTCACTGGCATGCTGGAGCGGGAGACAGCCTGGCCTATAAGTTTCTTGCTAGTGCCGGGCGCGGTGGCTCACGCCTGTAATCCCAGCACTTTGGGAGGCCGAGGCGGGCGGATCACAAGGTCAGGAGATCGAGACCACGGTGAAACCCCGTCTCTACTAAAAATACAAAAAATTAGCCGGGCGCGGTTGTGGGCGCCTGTAGTCCCAGCTACTCGGGAGGCTGAGGCAGGAGAATGGCGTGAACCCGGGAGGCGGAGGTTGCAGTGAGCCAAGATCGCGCCACTGCACTCCAGCCTGGGCGACAGAGCGAGACTCCGTCTCAAAAAAAAAAAAAATAAATAAGTTTCTTGCTAGCAAGGACCTCTCTGCCATCCGCTGCTTGGACTAATGTCTGCACAGAGTTCTGGAGGAATTCAACTCTGAGCGTCTTGGAGAACTTCAGAAATAATAAAAAGGATACACAGAGGCTCCCCAGCTGGCTCCTCTGCACCGGAGAGCGTCAGGAAAGCCATGTGGGCTGAGAGCTCAGCTGAGTGCCTGTGGCCACGAAGCTGTTGGGTCCTGCAGAGTGTGATCTGTTGGGCATCAAACTGTGCCAGAGTCGAGGGAGCGGGAGGCTGAGGGTCAGGATGGAGCGGCTCAGCCTCTGGGCGGAAGCCATCCCTTCTGTCAGAAGAATGCAGTCGACTGTCTTTGCTCCTCTTTTCCCTGAGCTGTTCATTCTTTCGTGTGTGTGTGGATGTGGGTGTGGGTGTGGTGTGCGTGCGCCAGAGTGAATGGTATAGACAGTCTCCCTATGTTGCCCAGGCTGGTCTCAAACACCTGGCCTCAAGCAATCCTCCCTCCTCAGCCTCCCAAAGTGCTGGGATTACCGGTGTGAGCCACTGTGTCCAAGCTTTTGTGAACGTCAGGTTACGTTTGAGGTTCGGGTCAGGAGAGGACACAGGAGTCGGGGGAGAAAGGAGAGGAGGCAGCAGCCACGGGCTGCTGAGTGATGGCAAGCTCTCTATGAACATTTTGCCAATTTGAATGAACTTAGCCGCCAAAAACAAAACGCCCAGCAGGTCAGGCCTGGCCGTGGGGAGGGAGCCGCAGGCTGTGTTGCTGAGTGCTCCGTGGGTGTGGTGACCAATAGCAGGATGGAGGAGCGCTGCGTGTGGTTCTTGGCTCGATTACTCCAAACAGCTGCCTGGAGAGGTCATGGGTCGCCCAGTTGGAAGCCGGGGTGAGGGAGTGAGTGGCTGTGACGCCTCCAATCCTGGCCGCTCTGGGCCAGCAAGGAGGCCCTGTCTGCTGGAGTCGGGACCTAACTTTTCCTGCCTTGGACACCCTCTTGAGCCAACTGGGTGTTTGTGGGGCTATCCCTGGTGCAGTAAGGCTGCCACAAGCCTGGGCCCCTGGGGGACGGGGCAGTCAGCACCCCCAGCTCTGTCCTGGGTAAAACCAGCTGAGGGCCACGCATTGGGCAGGACTAGGCATTAGACACTGGTTGTGGGCCCAGCCATTCAAGGGCCCGGGCTGAGCATCCCGGAAGCCATGGGAAGTGGACAGGACCCCCTCCCTCTGCCGAAGTCCACGGCCCCAGCTGGGTCTGCGCCAGTGTGGGCTCCAGGGTGGCACCCAGGGTTGCTCTGTTCATCTCCTGCAGGGCTTCAGGAGCGTCCCAGGAAGCGTGGGGCAGCCCCAGCCGGATCCAGCCCTGTGTGGAGAAGGCAGCCCAGGCAGATCCCGCAGAGACGAGCTCCAGCGCAGCCCCAGCTCCCCCTCTTCCCTGTGGCCGGGGGTCCCACCCAAGCAAAAAGGCCATGGTAAAGGAAGTCAAAAACTTTATTCAGCTTATAAAATTCCATGTTCCGAGAACATGCTCTGAGCATGCAGAAAGCGCAGGACACTGCTCCTGGGTGGGGGCTCAGGTGGGGCCACCTCTGAAGCTCTGCTGACCCCCTGGGCCAAGGCCCTGACAGACTAGCAGACAGACTAGCAGGCCCAGTGGTTGTGAAAGCATGACAGCCACCATCACTGATGGCACCTGCTTGTGCAGCTGCAGTCCCTGGTGGGCCGGGCACTCACTCTGGCAGCCGCCGGCCCCCACGCCAGCCACGGTTGTCCCGCCATACACAGTAGTTGAGTGTGGTCGCGAAGGCCAGCCAGGCCAGGTAGGGGTAGAGCAGGCGGGCGGCCAGCGGGCTCACCTGGTACCAGGCCACGGTAGTGGCTGCCGCCGCCCCACTGACCAACAGGAGATCCACCAGGGCCTGCAGAGATTGGGGGAGGAAGGACAGGGAGGCCTGAGGCACCACGTCCACCCAAGTGCGTGTCCCACTGCCCAACTGCTGCTGGATTTGGGAGTCAGGAACCTCACTCACCCCCACTCCACCCCTGAGTGACCTGGCCAACCCCCTCCCCCATCTCAGCCTCAGTTTCCTCATCTGTAAAATGGGAACAGTCCTCCCGCCTGACCCATGCCATGTGTGGGGTGCACATGACATGCCTGAAGTGAACTCGGTTTGTTCAAGGGTGCGGTGGTGGCTCAGAGAGGTCTTGCAGGTCCCTTCCCCTCTCTGAGCTCAGAGCCTCCACGGAGGGCAGCGCTGACCTTCCAGCATTACTACAAGGCCCAAACAAAAACCTCTTTTTCAGGTACAGTGGCTCACGCCTGCAATCCCAGCACTTCGGGAGGCCAAGACGGGTGGTTCGCCAGAGGTCAGTAGTTCAAGACCAACCTAACCAATATGGTAAAACCCTGTCTTAAGGCCAGGCACAGTGGCTCACGCCTGTAATCCCAGCACTTTGGGAGGCCAAGGCGGGCGGATCATGAGGTCAGGAGATCGAGACGACCCTGGCTAACAGAGAAATGCCGTCTCTACTAAAAATACAAAAAATTAGCCGGGCATAGTCGGGGGCGCCTGTAGTGCCAGCTACTCAGGAGGCTGAGGCAAGAGAATGGCCTGAACCCGGGAGGTGGAGCTTGCAGTGAGCCGAGATCGCGCCACTGCACTCCAACCTGGCCGACAGAGCAAGACGCTGTCTCAAAAAAAAAAAAAAAAAAAAAAAATCCCTGTCTCTATTAAAAATAAAAAAATTAGCCAGGCATGGTGGCATGTGCCTGTAGTCCCAACTACTCAGGAGGCTGAGGCCGGAGAATTGCTTGAACCTGGGAGGCGGAGGTTGCAGTGAGCTGAGATCTCGCCACTGCACTCCAACCTGGGTGAGAGAGTAAGACTCTGTCTCAAAAAAAAAAAAAAAGAAGCTGTCGTGTAGAGGGGCCAGTGACCCTGCCCACACAGTACCAGGCTTCATGTGGGTTTTCCTATACAGTAGCCCCCAAACCCACCCTGCAACCCCTTCTGCCTTAATAGCTTCCCTCACTGAAGGAGAGTCAGTAGAGGGGAGGCTCCAGGGCGTGGGCTGCTTAGAGCTAGAGAGACATGGCCTTTTGCCTCCCCTGGCTCCGCCTACATTAACCCAGTGTCCTATGTGATGCCCCAGGGCCTCCAAGGGTCAGACCCAGGGATCAGGGACACATGCCGTAGCCACACTTACCCAGCCCATTTGTCGGGCACCAAAGAAGATGGGGGGCCACGCCCAGTTCAGGGCCAGCTGCCCGGTGTAGAGGCCCAGGGGAACCACAGCCTCCTCCGTGAAGCCTCCCAGCTCTTTCCAGACCAGGTAGGAGCCATACCTGAAACAGAGGCCGCAGTTCAGAGCACCGTTAGGAGCAAGGCCAGGAGCCTTGCCCACCTCCGAGTGACACAGTGATGGCTCATGCGTGACCTGACACTGATGGCTGTGTGATCTCAGGGAAGTTGCCTGACCTCTCTGGGCCCTCATTTTTCATAGGGTTGCTGTAGGGATTCTAGTTAGCACACTGGCAGTGCTGCATGCGATACCCAGCATATAGGACACTCAATAAACACCTGCCATTATTATCACTGTCACTGCTATGAAGGGGAACCACATGGTGTGACTAGGTAGAGAGGAGGCTCTTAACCTAGCCAGGGCATTGCACAGAGGATAGGACATTTGGGCTGGGCCTTAAAGGATGAATAGGAGTTTTTCAGGGGAGGAAACAGGACATGCAAAGGCTGTGAGGCGGCTGTGAGGCAGATGTGAGACCCCGAGTCAGTCTGTGACTGCAGAGTGAGGCCCAGGGGGAGGCCTGGTGATGGGAGCTGTTAACACAGGGCAACAGTAACACCACCAGTAACAGTAGCCGATGCCCTCCGGCACTCCCAGGAGCCCTACCTATGAGAAGGCCCTACCACTTCCCAAGCATTCACTCATTTCAGCCTCCTGATAATGCTGTAAGGCAGGCAGTGTCAGCACCCCCTTTACAGTGAGGAGACTGAGGCACAGGCGGTGAAGTGACTGAGATCTCTTGGCAGGCCATCAGTGGATAAAGTCCGGTCGGCCGGGGCCAGAGCCCTGACTCTCACCTACCAACGAGGGGTTTGCCTTATCCAGAGCCACAGGGAGCCCCAAAAAGTTCCCCCAAAGACAGGCTGGGACCAGGTGGTATAGGAAGGCCAAGCAGGATGGGAACACTGGAGCCAGGAAAGTGTGGGAGCCTGGCTGGGCAGGGCCTGGGCCGGAAGGGGTGAGGCCCAGGTGACACCCAGGTTCCAGGGCCTTATTCCCATCAGAGCTGGGCACCTGGCCTGGCCTCTGCTATCTGCCCCCTGGAGTGCCTGGCACCTGCGTCCCCACCCTGCATTGGGCTGACACGGAACCAGTATGCAGGGAACATTCCAGAAGGCAGTCAATTCCCTGCCTCCTGGGTGCAGTCCCCTCTACAGCCACCAAGAGGCGCCCTGCCCCTCCCAGCACGTCCTTTCCGGGTGGAATTCCCCTGGTCTAGTTCCAAGGGATTCAGGCCAGACTCAGCCTGAAGGGGGCGGTGCGGGGTCCACACTTGCAAGCCCTGTGTCCTTGGGAGGCCCCTTATCATGGGGGGCGTTGAGTATGAATGAGATGAGCCTGGCACTGGGCAGGAGTTCAACAGAGGAGCTGCTCTCGGGGCTGTCGCTACCGTTGTTAATCTTGGAAAGCATCCATGCCGCTGCCCAAGGCCAACCTTCACACACTAAGCCGGCCTCCGCCTGGAGCTGTGAACATGGCAGGGATGCCAGGGTGGGGTGAGCGTCTGACCCATCCCCCCAGGGGCCCAGGAGGAGAAAGTTCAGTTGTGCAATCAACAGGCCCACAGCTTCCCCACCCTGGCTTGCCAAATGGGGCTGGGAAACCATGCCGTGGCCCATGGCCCGCCTGGAGGAGACCCTCTGTCCTGGGCCAGGCCTCTCCTTGCAAAGGGCCAGGCTCATCCCCAGGCCAGCACGCGTGCCCACCTACCCCATGGCTGAGTAGAGCGTGCCCCAGACAGGGCCCAGCACCCAGTGGGGCGGGTGCCACGAGGGCTTCTGCAGGCCGGCGTACCAGCGGAGACCCTCGCCGTGGACAAAGCGGGAGCCCACGAAGCACCCCAGGCTGGGCGCCAGTGTGAAGCCCATGGCGGGCACCCAGGGCGGGGCCATGGCTGCTGCAGCTGCTGTTCAGGGGAGCTCTGAAAGAAAAGACAAGGCTGGGTGAAGGCATTCCTGAGGCCATGGGGTTAGGCCTGTGTCTCCTCCAGCATCCCTGAAAGGCCTGTCACCCACAGATCAACCAGTTGGCTTATCAGGAGGCACAGAGATGTGCAGGGCAGGAGTGGCTGAGTGAACACATTTCCAGCCCTGCTCCTGCCCCAGCTGCCTGGCCTCACCTTTGTCCACCCTCACCTCGACCTTGGGTCTCCTGGCACTGATCCCTCCTCCCTGCTGCCTCTTCCGAGGCCAGTTTGGGTCCCCTCCACCAAGAAGCCTTCCCAGCCTGCCTCCCTGGGCCAAGTCCCAGCTCTGGGGGCTCTGCCAGGCCAGTGCTTTACATTCCAGCACTTCACATTCACCTTTCACTCACTCACTCACTCATTCGGTGACTGCTATCAGACAGAGTTTGGGTCAAATCCCTTTCCTCACTGCCTCACTGTGACCTCAGGCAAATCACATCAACTCAGGGCCTCAGTTTCCCCCTCGGTAGAGTGGGATATCAATGCTTACCTACCTTGAACACAGCTCAGTGCACAGCAGCAAGGACTCTACACAGCTGTTTCAGCACCCCACAGGGCCCCACTAAAACCACCGCCCCTTCCCCATGCACCGGAGATGGACAGCGGCCTGCCTGGGGCCACAGTGCACTCTGGGCCAGGCTCTGCCCCGGTGACAATATGGCTCCCACCCTGGCCTCATCAAAAAATGAAGGGCTAAGGTCCCACTCACTCTGATTCTAGGTGGAGAATCAGGGGTCATCTGCTCTTGTCTGAGACAAGCCACACAACCGGATTTAGTTCCGCCAACTTGCAGCAAGGCCTGCTGGGGCGAGGGTTGGGACCCAGCGGGGCACGGGGTTGGGGAGGCCCTGAGTGGGCACAGACTGGGGCTGAGGGAGCCTGGACCTCAGAAAGGGACCCTCTGACCGGGGACCAGGGAGGAGATGCCACAGGAAGAACAGTGAGCACTTTCGCCCCAGGGGAACGCGAGAGACAAGCATTCCAGGGGTCATGGAGGCAGCCAAGTGGGGGCAGAAGGGGGTCAGAGGAGACTGTGCTGAATGTGGGCTTCGGCAGGGGCAAAGGGCAAAGGGCAAAGCCGGCCCCAGGGAGAAGGAGCAGCTGCTGGCCTGGAATCCATGGAGCTGGGTGAGCACAGAAGCCACATCAGTGCCCAGCAGCCACCTCAGTGCCCAGCAGCCAGGGACTATTAAAGACTGGCCCTTCACAAACCAAGCTTTTGAAGGCTTTTTAGTGATGAAAAAGTTGTTCTCACTAACACGAAGAAAGCAGAATATACATAGACTACAGAATGACCCCAATTTTGGCAAAGAATGGATAATACAGATTTGCTTTTTTTATATATATATAGTCTCGCTCTGTTGCCCAGCCTGGAATACAATCTCAGCTCACTGTAACCCCCGCCTCCCAGGTTCAGGGGATTCCCCCGCCTCAGCCTCCCACCTCCCAAGTAGCTGGGATTACAGGCACATGCCACCATGCCGGGCTAATTTTTGTAGTTTTAGTAGAGACAGGGTTTCACCATGTTGGCCAGGCTGGTCTCGAACTCCTGACCTCAGATGATCTGCCTGCTTCGGCCTCCCAAAGTGCTGGGATTACAGGCGTGAGCCACTGCGCCCAGCCTAGATATGCATTTTTTTTTCTCAGTTGTAACCATTGCATGAAGATGTTAGCCACAGTCATAATCGTAAAGCCAGCATTTCCAGAGAAATGGCTGTATGCCAGGCCAGGCAAGCTTTACCCCAACACTGGCCATGAACCCTCACCCTGCGAGGGAGCGATGCCACCTTATGGCCGTCTGCCAACAGACACCTGAGGCACAGGGCAGTGGAGACGTCTGCCCAAGGCCCCTCCACAGGCCAGCCACTCAGGATTCCAGAGTCCACCCTCGGCAGCAGGATTTATGATGCTAAGTTCACTACGTTACTTGTTTGCCAAAATATGTATAATGAACATTACTGTATTTTATATTTCAGAGACAGAGTGTCGCTGCTGTCCAGGCTGGAGAGCAGCAGCACCATCGTAGCTCACTGCAGCCTTGACCTCCCAGGCTCAGGGGATCCTCCCACCTCAGCCTGGAGGTAGCTGGAACTCCAGGCATGCACCACCATGCCCAGCTACTTTTTGTATTTTTTTGTAGAGACAAGTTCTCTCCATGTTGCCCAGGCTAGTCTCAAACTCCTGGGCTCAGGTGATCCTTTCACTTTGTTCTCCGAAAGTGCTGGGATTATAGGCATGAGCCACCATGCCTGGCCAGGGCACTTTTTTTTTTTTTTTTTTTTGAGATGGAGTCTTGCTCTGTCACCCAGGCTGGAGTGCAGTGGCAAGATCTCTGCTCACTGCAACCTCCGCCTCCCGGGTTCCAGCGATTCTCCTGCTTCAGCCTTCCAAGTAGCTGGGATTACAGGCACCCGCCACCACGCCCAGCTAATTTTTATATTTTTTAGTAGAGACAGGGTTTCATCATGTTGGCCTGGCTGGTCTCAAACTCCTGACCTGAGTTGATCTGCCTGCCTCAGCCTCCCAAAGTGCTAGGATTACAGGCATGAGCCACCGCACTGGGCCTGTTTTAAAGGAACAATCAGAGTGTCAGGCATCCAGCAGATTCCCATGCTGCCACTTACTATGATTCCCTCCCCTCCCTGGACCTCAGTTTTCTCACCTGTTGAATGGGGACAGTTACCCCATCCCCCAAGGTTGCTGCACAGATGAGCAGTAAGGATGGACATTCTTGGGGGCTGGGCATGTGACCTAGGTCCTGGCAAGAAATATTCCTGTGGGCCGGGCGCGGTGGCTCAAGCCTGTAATCCCAGCACTTTGGGAGGCCGAGACGGGCGGATCACAAGGTCAGGAGATCGAGACCATCCTGGCTAACACGGTGAAACCCCGTCTCTACTAAAAAATACAAAAAACTAGCCGGGCGAGGTGGTGGGCGCCTGTAGTCCCAGCTACTCGGGAGGCTGAGGCAGGAGAATGGCGGGAACCCGGGAGGCGGAGCTTGCAGTGAGCTGAGATCCGGCCACAGCACTCCAGCCTGGGTGACAGAGCAAGACTCCGTCTCAAAAAAAAAAAAAGAAATATTCCTGTGTTCTCCCTCTCCCTCCCTTCTGCCCCTCCCCCTCCTGCCCCTCCATCCTGCCCCTCCCCCTCCTGCCCCATCCCCTTCATCCTGCCCCGCCCCCTCCCTCCTGCCCCACCCCTTCCCTCCTGCCCCACCCCCTCCCTCCTGCCCCACCCTCCAGCTTCCAGGGTACACTGCTAATGGGGTGGTAGTGGGGGTCTGATGTCACTACACATATGAAAGGCCACCTTCCCCGGTACGGGAGGTACTGCTGAGCACTGGCCCTGCACCACTGCCAAGTGGATACGGAGCTCTGGACCACAGCCCTGGGACCACCTCCCAGCTCAGCCTCCCACTATATCCTCTCAGGTAAGCCCAGGCCAGCTCAGCCTGCTGCCCATCTGGGCAACTGAGACATAACCGCCGCTCTGCTGGAGCCTGCGTGAGTCCACAGCTGAGTGATGTTGTGGGGGAACCGTAAGGAGTCTCATTCAGCCTCCGCTGGAAACAAGCCGGACCAGGGTTCCTGTACGTGCGTTTTCCCAGGACACCCCCAGTTGAGGCCCACCTGCCCCACACTGATGGCCCACTCTCAGTCTCACAAGTGTCCCTGTCCAGGCGAGCAAGGTTAATACCACCAGCATAAGACACACGCACATCCAGAACCCCTTGATACCACATGGAAGCTGATGCACTTTCAGTGATGTTCATGCAACAAATGGAAACCCCCAGTGCACCATTCAGCAGCATTTGTATATTGCCATTGTTGTGCAGCCACCCTCTGTATCAAGTTCCAAAGCATTTTCAACCCCGAAAAGAAACCCTGTATCCATCAGCAGTGGCTCCCCTCCCTCCCCCCACCCCTGGCAGCCAGCAATCTGACTTCTCTCTGGGGACTTGCCCCTCCTGGATATTTGGTCTCAATGCAGTGTGTGGCCCTGGTGTCTGGCTTCCTTCACTGAGCGTCATGTTCTAGAGGTCCTCACCTTGTAGCATGTGGCAGAACTTCTCCCTCCCCACGGTTCTGTCACCTGGCCCCAGCACCCAGCCAGGGCCAGGCGCACACTCGGAGCCCAGTAAATCACAAATGGAACTCACCCCGTGTTCCAGCTGACACGACCTTAGAGACCACCCTCCAGGTCCCCTGTTGCACAGAACGAATTAAAGTCACAGAGGCATGGCGGCTTTCCCAAGGCACAGCAAGAGAGAGCAGGGTCTGGAGCCGGTTCTGAGTCCCGTGCTCACACTCCCACCCCAGGATGCCCCCTTCTCAGGCCTGGCTGTGGTTATGACCCACAGGGCCAAGGGGCTCAGAGGGTCTGCCCCACCAGAAAACAGGGTGGTCAGATGCCCCACATGGAGAAAGCCTGGTGGCGGGCAGGGAGTTTCCTAGGGCCTCTGGGGAACTGCCTGGCTCCTGAATCGCCCAATCAGGGAACAGGTGGGCAGCATGAACATGATGAGTCATGCTGGGCCGGGCTAGGCAGGGTCCAGAAATCTGCTCTGGGATGGGCCCAGGGAAGGCTGGGGTGGGCCAGGGGGCATACATGGCAGGGACGGGACGCGGGGTTCAGGCAGGGGGTGAAGCCACCTATGCCCCTTTGTCTCCTTCAGGTGAACAGGGATCCAGACCTCGGCTCTGCCTCCATCCAAGGCTCATCTCTGGGCCCGGCTTCCCTCCACATCAGGTGGGTAAACCCGCCATGTCTGCTTCTCAGGGGCCTGGGGTAGCTCAAGGGAGGAAGGGGTGGGACAACAACGTTTCCCTGAAAACTCTAGAGAAGAGAGGGCTTGTGGGTATCGGTGTGGGGCCACTAGCCCCATTTCCTCCAGGGGAAGACAGGGCCTCAAGGCTTGGACCTGAGACGAGACCCTATCAGCCATGAGAGCCCCTGGACACTCCACAGGTGAAAATGCCCTGCACGGAGCAGCGCCCCCAAAACAGAGGCAAGATCAGGGCAGGGTAGAGGACGCAGGATGTGGAGGCAGGAGAAGGCTCCAGGCCTCGCTCAGCTCTGGCTGTGCACGGGCCTCTGGTAGGCAGGGGCCTGCATGGTGGAGTCCGTGCTCATCCCGATGGTCACCGCCTCGTTTAGTCCCCACAGCGGCCACAGGGGACTAGCTGCTTTTCCCTGAGCCACATGGCCCACTTGGCCTCCATAGTGGACTCATAACTTGTCCCATTTTCCAGATGAGGAAGCTGAGACATGAGAAGTCACAGAACTTTCTAGGTCTGAGTGACTCCAAAACTCATCCCACCCCTCCCTCTGAGCCGGGTGTCTGCCGGCCTGCTCTGGGCTGCATGGCCACTTGCCAGCATCTGTGTCACCACCCGTCTCAGCCTCCTTCCTCATCTGTAACAGGGCTCATAAAGCCTGCAGCACCAGGATTGGACCCGCAGGCCCCAGGCCACTCCACCCCACCTGTGAACTGTGCCAGAAGGTTCTCCCAAGGCCAGCAGCATCGCTCTCTCCACCTGCCACAGCAACATCCCAGCCCCCACAGAGCATCAGGCCCCGCAGGATCTGAGCCCTCCCCAACCAAGGGTGGGACCCAGGGTCTCCGGGTCTTGTGAGACTTCACTCCTGGCCCGGAGACCCCAGACCCATAGCTGCCCCAAGGTATCTCATCTTCTGGGCCTCTGTGTCCCTATCTGTGAGGTGGTGGTGGAGCCAGTGGGTTTCAGGGTGTCTTTCTGTTCTTGGAGACCTCCCTATAGGTGACCCAGAAGGCCAGGCACAGTGGCTCACACCTGTAATCTCAGCACTTTGGGAGGCTGAGGCAGGCAGATCACCTCAGGTCAGGAGTTCGAGACCAGCCTGGCTAACATGGTGAAATCCTGTCTCTGCTAAAAATACAAAAATTAGCCAGGTGTGGTGGCGGGCGCCTGTAGTCCCAGCTATTCAGAAGGCTAAGGCAGGAGAATCAACTGAACCCAAGAGGTGGAGGTTGCAGTGAACCGAGATTACGCCCCTGCACTCCAACCTGGGCAACAGAGCGAGACTCCCTCTCAAAAAAAAAAAAAAGAAAAAAACCAAACAAACAAAAAGCACAACTTAACTAACTAAAAAAAGAAGGCGATCCAGGAACGGAATAAGGAATGTGTCCCTTCTCTGATCCCCACCACCACCCCCAGCTGCACCCAGCTCCCCTGAGCCTTGTCTCTCCAATGAAGCCACCATTGTCCCAGAGACTTGTTTTCAGGCTTTTAAAAAATGACTCATGGCTAATCGTCCTGACTTTGTGTGCGTTTTTCATTACGAAAGTAACCAGTGGAACAGCCCACACATCTGGAAAAATCCACAGCCAACCTGGCCATCGAGTGGCCTGGCAAAGGGTAGGGTGAGGGTGGGTGTCCAGGGGGAATTGGTTCTGTTAAGAAAGACTCATTTCCTTTCCTTCAAGGTTCGGGGGTTAAACTTTTTTTTTAGTGAAAAATAAAGAAACAGCCTGGCCGACATGGTGAAACCCCGTCTCTACTAAAAGTACAAATATTAGCCAGGCTGAGGCAGGAGAATCACTTCAACTCAGGAGGCAGAGGTTGCAGTGAGCCCAGCTCGAGCCACTGCACTCCAGCCTGGGCAATGGAGCGAGAGACACCGACTCCAAAAATACATATAAATAAAAGTAAAGAAGAAATTAAGAATGACTTCCCTAGTGGTCCAGTGGTTAAAAAGAAAATAAAATAAAAAAGACTACTGTTTTACACAAAGAGAGCATATCCACGCATTGTTTGCGCGATCAAAAGTAAAGAAAACACAAATAAGCCAGAAACGGTGGCTCACGCCTGTAATCCCAGCACTTTGGGAGGCTGAGGTGGGAGGATCGCTTGAGCCCGGGAGTTCTGCAGGAGACTGCAGTGAGCTATGATTGCATCACTGCACTCCAGCCTGCCTACCAGAGTAAGACCCTGTCTCAAACAAAAAAAAAAAAAAGAAAAAAAGAAGGAAAAAAAGAGAAAGAAAGAAAAACGAAACAAAACAAAACAGAGATTCAAAACTGAAATACTGAAAAAGCTAAAGGTAAATGTAGGCTCCCTCCTTGTGAGCCCAAGCCCTTCACCCCACCTGGAGAACCTGCTGTGAATATTTTCTGGTAGATCCAGCCAGACATGGTGCCTCACGCCAGGCATAAGTCTGTACAGACGACAGGACACAGCACATGTGTGTGCACACATGCACAGACACACTCCCAGGAAACAAAGTGGCCCTCGGGGCACAGTGGAGGAGGCAGGCTGGGATCAGGCCCCGGCTCCACCACGCCAGCTGCATGACTCTGGACAAAGGCTTCTTTGGTAAGCCTCAGTTTCCCCCAGTTTCCAGCACTCCCCTGGGAGCCCAGGATTCCCGCGGAGCCTCCCTATGGGGCTGCCAGCAGCCAGGTGGAGACTCAGGGGCCGCCTTCCCCTGCTGGGCTGAGGCTGGCTCTCCTGCCCTTGCTACACAGCCCCTTTCACCGCCAGTGGAAACCTGCCTCACGCTGCCCTGTCTCGGGCCCCACCGACTCCACAGAGACGCCGGGCCTCGCCCACGTTCTGGCAGCAGGCCTTCATGGGCAGGGCTTGCTGTGTGCCAGGCGAGCTGGGCGACTGCTTCCTGTACACCACCTCCCCTAATATCCTCGCCCTGCCTGAGTCCATTCTGGGACAGCCTCAAGTCCTGTCTCTCCTGCCATCCAGCCCAGGGCACACTGCTGGTATTCCGTAGCGCCGGCCCCTGGCAGGCTGGCCAGAGGGGCTCCAGGCCCACGCCAGGCCATGGCCTCTGGAAGCTGCCCTGGCCAGCAGTGTGTTCACAGCAGGAAGCCCCCGCTTCTCCCACCTGGGCTCCGTCTTCTTTGCAAGGGGCAGGGGAAGCAGACAGGTCCCAGAGGCTGCTCGGCTCAGAGTAAGTCCCGTCTAGGCTGCAGCGCACCTGAGCCCCGCACTGGGAATTGAGGGCCGGGGGGCCTCTAACCGGCTTTGGGCAAAAAAAACTTCCCCGATCTGGGCTGTTCTCCTCCACTATGAAACGGGGTGTCTTGGGGGATCAGGATCCTGCCTGAGGTCTCCCAGACATTCTGAGACCCTGAAGGGAGCTCCGCCTGGGATTGCCCATCCGCGGAATGGGCGGGAGAGGGAGCATCGGCCTCTCCTGCGACCGCGCTTCCTGCAGGAGAAGCAGGGGCAGGGCGTGGCGGAGTTGCCCAAGTTTCCCCTCCCGAACCCCCAGTCGGAGGCGGCCCGCGCAGGAACCCCAGCCGCGGAGGCCCAGACCTGGCTGCCCGCCGCCTCCGCCCCTGACCCGATAGCCGAGCCCCAAGTGCTGCCCCGGGCCGCCCCCTCGGGTGTCCAGTCCTCGGCTCCGGCCTCAGTTTCCCTCTGTCCCGCGGCGCTGTCAGAGTCGCAGCCGTGCGGGCCCCCATTTCCCGCTGCCCCCTCCGCGTCCCGTTCTCACTCACCAGCGGCGAGGGCACGCTCCGGGAAGGGCACTGCCTGGCAGGAGTTAGCCAGACCGCTGTGCCCGCATCCGCCCCGCCCCTCTCAGACGCCCGGCCCCGCCCCGCCACCAGGCCCCGCCCCGCCACCAGGCCCCGCCCGTCAATCCACCGCCCGGCCCCGCCCCACTACCCGGCCGAGCCCCGCCCCGCTCCGCCCCGCCCCGCCCCGCCTGGCAGCCCGGGCCCTGGACCCACTGGCATCCCCGCGGGACCGGGAGCTCACTCCTCAAAGCCACCTCTCCCGCGGGACGCGCTTCTGCCTCCCCCCGGCCGCGAGCGAGTCTCTCGGCTCCTTCTCCTCCCCACGGTGACCGGTGATGGCCGCCCGGCCAGACCCAGCACCTAAAACGTTGCCGTGTGTCCGCCGGCGGGTCGCTTGTGGTTTCTTCTAGTCTCATTTTCCCATCTATAAAATGCGGCAACAAGACCGATCTCCGAGTGGGGGATTGCCTCTCCTGAGGGCAAGGCCCTGAGCGTCCTCCTGCTCAGCAGCCTTGGCCCCATTTCCGGAGCACCCCAGTTCCTTGAGCTGTTGATCCAGGGCACGGAGACTGCGCGCTGCACTCTTAGTCCTGGCCCGACCACTTTCTGACTGGTTCTCTGGGTCTCCATCTCCTCATCTGTAAAATGGGCACAAACTCGTGGGACTGATGAAGCCACAAGGCGGTGATGCAGGCAGGACACCCCTCAGATGCTCGGCGCTCAGTGAGGGGAGAGGCTGCCATCATCACAGTCCAGAGGTGGCCTCCAGCTGCCCAGGTCCACTCCCATGCAGGGCGTGTCAAGCCCCAGGCCCTTGGCACTGTGGCTGTCTTGCTGCAGCCCAAGGCTGTCCCAGCTCCCTCCGGCCAACTCAGACTGGCAACACCCCTCAGCCTGCACCAGCCACATTGGGCCAAACTGATCCTGCAGGGGCCAAGGAGAACAGTGGCTACTTCTACCCAGACACAGAGGCTGGGAGCCTCCTTCCAGCCAGGCTGTACTATGGCT